CAAGATCCTAGTCACCTACCAAGCCTAACGCTCTTTTAATCGAAGTTTCAGTTTCTTCATATTGTTGGATCGGCCGTAGTCCTCCGACACCTGAGCCAGATCCTCATCCGTGTCATCATCTGGGAATTGGTATAGGACCTGATGGGCACGCTCCACATTCGATGTGTCTAGTTGTGACAGTTCTGTTCTAGTACTTGGATTTGACTTCTTCTCAACAATATTTCGATCAGCTAAAGAGAAACACTCCGACTCAGTAAAACCGGTCTCAGAGGAATCGGGCTCGAACGGTTTGTCACTGTCGATATCGATGAAAGAAGTACAAGAGGACTCGCTGGTAATTTGGTGATTGCTGACAATGGGTCTCCGACAACGATGCATGATCAGAAGATTATGCTGACCGTGGAAAGGAACTGCCGAAGGACTTGAGACGTTTTAATGCACGACTGAATAGATAGCACGGAGGCACAAGGAGAGGAAGAGCTCCGGGATGGTGGTTGAGTCGGAAAGAGAGGATGTCGAATGAAGACGGTTGGGGAGAGGATATTTATAGCCATGGCGGCTGGGTACTGGCCAGAGTGCAGCGGGCGGGGTGAAGGAGGCCATTTTCGGCGCCCTCGTAGGGGTGTAATGAGCGACGATGAAGCGATGAATGAGCCCTCAAGGAAGCCAAGATGTAAGCGCCCACACGATGGCAGCCTAAGGCAGAAACAGTGAATGAGTTGATGCGTGGTCGAAGGAGACGGGAGCGTGGCGGAAAGATATTGCTGAAAGGCAGCCATTTTCGGCGGCACGTGCCGCCGAAAATGGCAGCGAAATAGCAAACCGCAATTCTTAGATCGAAAAATTAAAATAAATAAAGTTTTTTGCAAATTTTTTAACAATTATTTTTTGAAGGCTGTCAATTTCTTTTTAATATGTTGTAGAGTGGGTCGAATGAAGATTTTTTTTAATTTTAGAATAGTAATGTGATTGTAATCTTAGTGTGATAATAATCTTTTTGTTTCTTTAAAAAAAATATTTACAAAATTTTTGAATTTTTCAAATAATTCAGATTTGGATATATTCCGTGTGTTTTTAATAACAAGATTAATTTGTTTTACCATTGTGATGTAGATTTAGTCTTTTTAATGAATGTATGCAATATAAATGTTAAATAATATTTGATAGATGTTTTTATGATATAAAGATATAAAGACTTTTAGATTTTTAAAACAGGTTTAGATTGAGATGTTATGTAATGTTTAAAATTTTTTAAAAATGTTTTGAGATGTTGCAATATTTCTGATAATATAAGTTAATAAATTGGAAGATATATTTGACAAAATTCATTTATAAATTATATAATTTAAATTATAGTAGATCAATTATTATCGGAAAATAAACAAATTGTATAATTAAAAATAAAATATTTTTCTCAATATGATTATGTATCTTTAGAATTATATATGTGTAATGAATAATCTTGTTAATTTTATTTTTTGTGTTGTTAAAATTCATTAATAGTTTAGATCTTTTTAGAGAATGTAGAATGAAATAATAAATTTTGATTTAATTATTATTCATTACATGGGATATGGAATAGTCGATATTCAATAAAATATAATTAATAATTTTGTTTTTATTTGGATTCAATGTTATAATAATAATCAATAAATTGTTTTTTTAGAATTTTTTTGATTGGAAACCCTTTAACAACAATTTTAAATATTTAATAAAATTGTATAGATTCATTTGTTTGATTGTGATTTAAATTAAATGGATTTTTTTAATTGTTTGTTTGAATTAAATAAATATAAACATTTAAATTGAAACTTTGTTCGGAGTTGAAAAATATGTAATGAAAATAATTAATATAAATTTTTGAAAATATAATAAAAAAAGAATATCAAAAAAGATAATTTCTGGAAAGAAAAGATTGCTTGTGAAATGTTAAAATAATTAGTATAATTGATTTAATAAATGCGATTATTAAATTTAAGATAGTTTTTAATTAAATGTTTATTCAAATCACATTAAAAACATTTTTTACGATTATAACGGATAAAATCACGCAAATTGAATGATTGATATCGAAATAATAATAAATTTATAAATTCGAGATCAAAAAAATTGATTAATTTTTAAAAATGTTTGGAAAAATCTTTTGTAAAAAATTTTTAAAAAAATCGATAAATGATTGGTTTTTTAGATTTTTAATTCATAATTGGATATAGGCGTATTAGATCCGGCAATTTTTTAATTTTTGTAAAAAAGTGACAAAGTTAATGTAGAAATCAATAAAAGATTTGTGATAAAATAATATATTTTTTAATTTTTGATTAATTACATGTTTTAATAATGTTGCGAGATTGTTTTCAATCATCTTGTTTTTTATAATCAGATATTGAAACTCGACAAAAAAGATGGAAAATTCTTAATTTTTTTGTTTTAAAACAAAAAAATGTTATAGACATTATAAACATGATTGAGATTGTTGTAGGTTTTATTTAATATATTTAAGATATTGATATAATTGTTTATTTGACAGATTCTATTTTTGATATACAATAAAATTTAAATATAAAAATAATTCTTTTAAACGATTGATAATATAGGTTATGTAAGTTTCAAAAATTGAAAAATGATTATGGTTTATAATCATTTTTTTTTAATTTGAGAAGCAAAACAATAAAAGTTTAATTTAATATTTTCAAATTTATTAAAGTTGGATAGACATTCGGAAAGACAAATAAAGATAGAAAATCTAAAATTAATTGATGTAGATATTTTTATCGGAACAATTAAAGATTTTTTAATAATAGATTTAAAGATCTGATTCGAGATGTTAATTCCAAAAATAATAGTTTGAATGATTTGATTACATTTTTTTATTAAAATTTTTTGAATAATTGTGATTTTGATTAATTGAGAATTCAGATTTTCATTTTATTAGATCTAATAAAAGACAACAGTTACAATAGTTATTATATTTTTTTAAAAATGGATTTGTTCGATGTTTGCATTAATAACAAATCTATAAATTTGTTTATAATATAAATATCATTTTTCAATATATTCGACAACATGTTGAATGAATTGTTTGAGATCTTTAAACAAAATTGAAAATTTTGGGATTTTAGATATGTCGAATCAACATTAATTCTATAAATAAAAATTATGTAATGTCAAGATGTGGACCGACGGAAGATAATAAAGCTGATGATAAATGAATAGATAAACAGACAGATTTTTAAATATCAGATATTCGATTATTACAGAGTCAAATTATATACAGATTAATAGACAAAATGTAGTTCGAAAAGCTACAACAAGATCTTAAGACGGCAGGCAAATAAGAGATGGTACGGTCATGTGATCGCACTAGTGGGTGCGATAATCATCCTTGGGCTCGCACTGTGACAAATATTGTCATTTTATTTAAATCCAAAATCTTTTTAATGACCGTTTTGATTAATTAAAATTATTTTATTTTATTAATAATTTGTTTTCAAAAGATTATAAAAATAAATTTTGTTAAAATTATTATTCAAATTTTAAATGATAATTATTTTACAAATTTTGTGATTCATAAGTCTGTAAATGCAAACGCAAAATTTTTTCATTTATTATAAATCATTTATAACAATTTACAAAAATTTTCATTTTTATAAAATTTTTAAAATGTTCGTTTGTCATAAATTCAAAAACTTATTCAATTTATTATTATAAATTTGATTTTAACATTTCAAAATAATCATTAATATAAAATTAATTAATGTTTTTGTTAATTAATATAATAAATAACATTATTTGATTAAATATTATTCATTTTATTTATTTGAATCGTTGTCAAAAATTCATAAATCTATTGGTAATAAATTGATTTTAATTATTTTTTTATATGATTAAATAAAAAGATTTTAAAATTTTCAAGAATAATATTCAAAATGTTTAATAAATGCAATAAATATCAAATGTTTTATATATTTTTTTAGAATATATTTTCATATATAAAAATCTGATTTTTTCATTTTAAAATGTATAAAATTTATTTTTAAAATAGTGTTCAAGATTTTAAATAAAAATCATATATTAATAAAGATTTTTATTTTTGTATATAATCAATTTTTTTATTTTGAAATCTTTTTTTATTATTTTTTTATTTATTTTTTTTGAATAAATATACAATCATGATTCACAATATTTAAATTATATTAGATTTTGTTGTCATTCTGACAGAATTTTAAAATTTAATTAAATATTTTTAAATTTTAAAAAGTTATTTTGATTTATCAATTCGTTTTAAAAATAATCAAATAAATGTTGTTAATTGTTATTGATATAAAAAAAAGATTTGATTGTAAATTAAATAAAAAAATTTTGATACATAAAACATTTTTATTTATTATATATTTGTTTATTTGATGTCATTTTGAAATATAAAAATAAAATGATTAAAATTTATAAAAAAAGATTTTGCAAAAAATGGATTTTTATTCAAATATTTAATTTTTTTAATTAAAAATATTCAATATATTAATATGATTTTGAATATATCACAATTCAAATATAAAAACAAATACAAATACAACAAAAGAAAAAATGTTTATTGATTAAAAATATTAATTGTTTGATTTTTTGAACGATTAATCGATCGAATCATTATATAAAGAAGATATATAATTATCGATTCTATTATTTAAATCATTTGGTTATGTTATCGCTAAGCTGGCCAAGTTGCAGAGACCTCGGAGGCTTCGGCATTGCCGTTCTGAAGGCCTCCGGTGACAATAGAAAGCTTTCACTAGACAATTGATAGATCTTTCTATTTATGTTCTATGAGTAGGCTCTTTGCGTTCTTATATATAGTTTTTATTTAATTAGTAAGATTGATTAATTAATTCAATCATTTTTTATTTTTTTCTGTCTATATATGCAAATGTCAAATATCGTTAATAATTAGTCTAATTTTGTAGTTGTAACTAATAAATTACATTTTTCTTTTCATTTTCAACCAGAATGCCCGGCTAGCTCAATCGGTAGAGCGTAAGACTGTAAGTCTTCTGATTCCCCTTCCACACCTCCAGTACTGACCTCTTCCTCCTTAGTCTAATCTTAAGGTCGCAAGTTCGATCCTTGCGTCGGGCTTTTTTTGCTCATCTTCTTTTTTAATATATCGCTAGCTTTACATGTTAATCTTCTAAATGGTATCCACAATCTAGCGGCCCTACATTTCGATCAAGAATAAGCCCATTGTTAAATCCCGTAGGCCTTTAGATGTTATACATCTAGAACATATTAAAATATCCTTACACGTCGTCCTCGCCACACATCCGCTATGCCCAAAGTCAAGGCAGCAAAAGGCAAGCCAGCGAAGGTCGAGGTGAGTGACCACGTTCTCAATTTTGTTTCTGTTATTCTCCTTTTTATGTTCATTGATATTCACCGAGTCCTTCGGCTTCCTGCTGACTGGCCCACATGTCACGGTCGGTGGCAGGTGCGCTTCTACCACCTTCCGCTTTCGGTTTATGCCATTGAACCGGAACGTTTAACCGTTAGACTATCAAAAGACCAGAATACCAAGTCAACAGACTTGGCTGCGCATCGCTCTATATAGTGGATTTCTTCGTGGTCGTTCTTCAGTTCGTCACACCACAGAAGCAACAGAAAAGACGGCAGTCTTTGCGTCTCAAGGCCAAAGAAACCTCGAACTCGTCTCCGGCGTCGCCCTGAGAGAAAGCAACCAACCCGGGAGAATCAATCAACGACAACACGTCGGAACAACCAGCTGCCAACTCTTCTACTCCGCCCGAGCCCAGGAACAATATCACTCCCGCCGAGTGGCGGCGCATGCTTTACAATGACCGCGGAGACCCCGACATCCAATCGAATGGGCTACGCCTCTATGACCATCCCAAGTTCAAAGGATGCGCTTGGGTCTCCGGCATCCTGGACCCTCCTTACTCAGGTCTGTGCGGTTGGAAACTCTACGCAGATGACGATATTGAACTGCATTTCAATTTCATCTTCGAAGAACTCTGGAACTGGGTGTATGACTACGCGGGTGAGCCACTTGAGGTCGTCGAGCCCCGGCTGTCGGCGGCTGATAAGCAGCTCATCGTCGATAGTCTGGGTTCCTATTGTCGACCAAAATATCGCGACTGGGATAGTCTGGTGGATGCCCTGTCTCCCCTTTGTCGCCAGCGATTGCCGACCATCCTGGCGGAATGTCTCCTGAACAAAGCCATGTTCGATAACTTTGTTAAGCATCCGTTCTTTTACCTGATGGAGCCTGGATACGAGGGCTTCGAGGTAGATGGCGTCCCGACGGCGTTTGGGGAGGAGCTGTTGAGCTTCTGGAAAAGATTGACAAAAGGTATGTGGTTTGAACTTGTGCGTTCTTTCTTCCTCCTCTTTCTCCTCTTCCTCCTCTTCCTCAATTTTATACTGTCCAACTCAAGTGCCTCAACCGAGACTAATAAACCTCAAATTACCCACCATATGCGCACTTTGACCACGCGTCTCCTGAATGGTTTCGACGTCTGGGATGAGAACGAGGATGACTCGATCGGCATCCAAAGCCGCATGCTCCGCAAGTCAGCGGCCAAACACGTCGCCGCGTCGCTCCTGGACAAATCCAGCGCGTTGAGCCTGCTGATACGTCCATACGAACGAGAGGACGAGGTCGCAAACACCACGAGCCAGCATGAGAAGAAGAGCAAGAAGAACAAGAAGAAGAAGACAGAGAAGCAGCATCAACAGCCCCCACCTGGCATACCACACGACGGGCGCTTTGAGCGTCTGGTCACTTTATTCCGAGAGGCAGGCGAGCGGGCCACCTGTTTATTCACCCAGCAGCATTTCTATTACTGCATAGAAGACTGCGTCGAGGACCTGGGTCCCTTTGACGGGCCGGTCACGGGGAGGGAGGATCCTGGGAAGGCCACCGACCAGGGGAACGTAAAGATGATGGCGCATACATATTCGCGAGAGGACTATCCGGACGGCGTGCTAAATGGGCGCTGGCCGGTTCTGATGGTTCGGCCGATGATTGCGGCAGCTGAGACTAATGAGTATCGTCATTATCAGTTGCAGGAGATGGTGACGCAGAATTTGTGTCGGTCGATTGTCGTTCTGGATAAGCATGAGCCGATCTCGTTTAAGTAGACTAAGTAGTGGGATTGTTATCTGTGGCTATATCTTTTTGGATCTTTAGTATTAGAATTGTGGATGCGTAGGCAGTTCCTTGGCCCCTAGTTAATCTACGGCTTACTAGTTACATACAACTGCTTTGGACAATAAAAACAATCAACCCCAGATGTTCAGACCAACCAAAACCCACTAACATTTAATCAGAATCCTCCCACAGGTGATTCTCCCAACCCCTCCCATCATCCTCCGTCACCACCACCCACATCACCCTCTGCGCCACCTTCATCTCCCGTTTCTCAACCCGTTCCAACCCCCTCTGACTCTGCGCCAATTTCCTAGTCACCCGCTTCTCCCTCTCCTTGTCAATCTTCTCCCTTTTCTTCTCCCACTTCCGCATCTCCTTCTCCATATCCTCCTGCACAATCAACCGGCCCTGCATCGACTCCCCCAGCGGGCCCTGCAGCCGTTCCCGCGCCCGCGCTCGGATCTCGCCCTGCGCCGTCTCCACCTCCGCTAATTTCGTGTCAAGCTCGCGGGAGGCTTCTTCGGCCTCGAGGGCTAGTTTTGTGGCTTTGTCGCGCTTGCCGCTGAAGAGGGCGTTTTGGCGGGAGGCGAAGGCGCGGGATTGGCTTTCGGAGGCTCGTTTTAGCCAGTTCTCCGACAACGGCAGGTCGGCTGTGAATTCGAGGGGTTGGACGTAGCCGGTTAGGGCGGACATGCGCCGGAGCTGGGGGTCATTCCTATCGTCGTTGGATTCCTGGGTGGGTTGTTGTTTGGTCGTTTCGTCGAAGCCTGGGTGTGTGCTTGAAGACGGAGGATAGGGTGGTAGGGGTGAGGATGGTGATGGTGATGGTGATGGTGATGGTGGATAGCCCTCCTCTTTCTCACCCTTACCCTTACCCTTACCCTTACCTTTACCTTTACCTTCAACACCCTCTCCATCATCAAGAGGATCATCCTTGTCGTCAAAAACCTCCTCCCCTTCCCCATCCCTCTTCTTCCGTCCACCCCCAACATCAAACACCTCCCCGGGAACCCCCACCACCTCCATCATCTTCCTCGTCTTGAGCACCTGCACGCGCAACCCCCGCGGCACAAATAACTCCTCATTCGCGAGCCTCAGGTACGCCTGCGTCCGCATCTGCGAGAGCTTAATCGACCCATACTCGGTGGCCACTTGCACGCCCAGCGCAGCGAGCTGGACTTCCAGCAACGGCACGAAGCCGAAGATGCTGGTCGTGGCGCTGGCGGCTTGCAGGTAGGGATGGGCGAGCCAGACGGCGTTGAGGCCATCGATGAAGGCGAGGAAGTCGGTGGGGGAGATGGTGCCGTTCTGGTAGGAGGTGTTGGGGCCTTGGTAGGTGGTGCTGGTGGCGTTGTAGGTGGCTGTTGTGGTGGCTAGGGCGGGTGGGTAGGCGCGTGCGAAGGGGCGGTAGATTGTGCCGTGGAGGGTGTGCGATGTTTCTATCTTGCTGTTAGGGAGGGTGTGGTGCGTTGGGGTCCCGGATGTGGGTATATGGGGTAGGTAGATGAGATGGAAGGGAGTATGCAATGGTACAAGACAGTGGATGGACGGTTCATCACATCTACTAAACCACTACTCCTCATAATAAAGTAGAGTAGTAAATAGTAATAGACAAAATGTGGGGTTAAGGAACAACCCTAACCAAACAACCCCATCCAGTACCGTCTAGTAGATAAATGTGGAGAAAAAACATACGCGGAATAACACACGGCAACTTCCTCTCCCCGGGCCCATCCTCAATCTGATTCCGAATCAACGTAGGCGGTTCCGGATGCTCACTATACGCCGGCAGCGGAGGCGGGTCGAACGGTGAATGCGCATACGTGAACCCAGGAAACCCATCCTGCGTGGTATGCGTCGGGCCCGGCACAGGCGAGTGGGCGGAATAATCATACAGGTGTTTTTCATCAGTGGGGTGGGATTGGGACTGGGACTGGGCCTGCGTGGACGGGGTACGGGATGGCCGTGGTGGTAATGGCGGTCTGTAGCTTTCCTTTAGGTCTTTTTCGTCCATGATGAGAGCTGCTGAGGACTGGTTCGGGGGGATATATCTAGAGGCTAGAGGGCTGAAGGATGGGAACTGATAATTGATAGGGAGAGATTTTTGGATGTTTGTTTGGTTTGCGTCGCGAGGGCGGGGGAGATTACAATTAAGGTTGATGACTCAGCGGGGTTATTTTCTGGTTTTCTTTTGGGAGGTTTATTTGTCGATCTATTATTATACCTTGGTCGAGATATGCCTAGCTAGTACTTGTTTAGAAATGATTGGATAGGGTTGGCTTCACATATTTGCAAATACAATATACATATAAATGATATCAAATATACACAAGAAATCAAAGCGAATCAACCTGCCTCGGGACAGATCTAACCCCTATCAGCCGTATACGGAGGAGGTGGATCGTGCACCACTTCTGCCTCTCCCGGTCCCTGTCCAGGACCTTCTCTTTGCTGTCCCGTTGCAAACGTAGTCAACTCCACCTCCGAGGGAGTCTTCTTCTTCGTCACCCGTTTCTTCTTCCAGAAGAAAATCCCCCCAACGACGATTCCCAGTCCAACAACCCCCACTACGACTCCAATAGCTATCTTCGCCTTAGTAGCTAGCCCTCCCGATGGCTTCTCGTATGTCGATTTGCATCCCAGACTATATTTGCTATGAGGTTCGATTGATGTTTCGTTAATTCGATCGACGACCCTATCACAGTCGAGCGGGAGGTCGGATTCGATTCGCAACGTTTCGAACTTTTCGAGGTTGGGCATGGAGACACTAGGCTTGTTAGTTCCTTAAATGGATGGAGTATGTTACGTGCGAAGACGACCCACTCTTCAATCTGTCCTTCAAGAATGACATTATGGCTTTCGGTGGCTGGTAGGGTAACATTGAGAGGATAGCTGGACCTGATTTTCATGATACCGGCGACGTCTTGAAGGCGGGGCATAGAGAGTCTGCAGGGGTCAGTCATTTGACGATAATAGTGTACATACACATGAGAAGAGGGAAGACAGTATGGGGCCTGCGTACCCTGTGATACGACCCTCTAGATCGAGCCAATCGTCGCAGTGTGTCAAGTGCGGAAAATGGAATTGTACAGACGTGTTTGCCGAGTGGACGGATAATTCCGCAGTGGATAACTTGGGCGCGATGAGCCTAATCCAATGCATTAGCATTGCGCAGTGGATGTGCTTAGAATAAGGGTAAGCAAGGCAAGGACTCACTCGGATACATCTCCCGCGATAAGCACCTCCTGCGCGACTTCAAGATTTGGCAGAGAAACCTCCATTGCGCGCCGTGGACCCGGTCCCTTATAAGAAAAGCCCTTGCTACACACCTCTTGGTTGCAGATGTTTAAACCACGGGTGACATTCTGCAGTGAGTCGAAGCTTACTCTGGTATTGGTCAGCGACCACGGATCGGTTTGGTTGCCAGAGAACGGGAGATAGGTGGATTCAAATACATACTTGGAATAATTACCCCGCAGGAAAAGGCGATCCGCCTTCTTCAGTCCGCTGAAATCCAACTTCGCATGATCGATGTACTGTTTAAGATGCATAGACCGTAGATATTCGAGCTTCGGAAGGGATATTCTCTCCAGCGTGTTGGCTAGGGACCCCACCTGTATGTCGCTTTGCATGTACTGAAGGTCCGGTAGGTCGATAACCGTCACATTAGGCGTCGGTTTGAAATCCCACCAATCCAGCATGATTTCTCCTGTGATGTTGGTAATGTTGGGCAGAATGAACGGGCCGGTAAAATTGGTTGCTATCATGAGGGCACCGATCATGGTCGTGCAGGAGGAAGACAGGGCATCGATGTAGCGTTGGTCGGTGACGTTGAACCAACTAAGTTCATTAGGAGGAGTGCATTCTTGCGACTGGACTACAATTCATGGTTAATATGAAGCAACAGTTGGAAGATCAAGGAGCATGGTACCTCCATGAAGCAGGCCCAGAAATGGGAGCAGGGGCCACAAGTTCATCTTAACATCTATGATCATCAATCACACCTCGACACCGCACAGGTTCCTGAAGATCTCTTCCCCAGAAAAAGAAAGGGATCATCAGGTGGGTAACAGACCCCTATTAAACGGGTTGCCACATCGCCCGCGCTAGTCTAGCCTTGTGGAAGTGTGTTGCCCGGAAGATAGCACAGGCCACGGGGCGTGATAGGTAGGCGCTTGCCCCAAACTAGGGCGAGACTAGGGCGCCGCCAAGGACACCAATTCCACCAATTCTCCCTGAAGGTGCCAATACTGTAACATGGCTGCTAGCCAACCCGAGCCGAAGTTTCTATTTGGTTTTTCTCTTTAGCGGAGGGCCCAGTCCTAGTCGACGCTGCGCCGTAAGACTGGCCCGCTACAGGTGGCACTGGTCGCAGTATGTAATGTGGAAAATGTATGAAATCATTACTCATTATCTTCTTTCTCGTGCTTGTCGTTTAATCCCAACTGGTCCCATTTCTCCAAAAACATATCCATGGCAACATCAGGCTGCCGCGCCGGACCCTGCTCAATCACCGACGAAAAATGCGGGTAGAAGCTGCTGAATCCGTGCGCGTCGTTATTTCGCCAGCTCTGGCTTGCAAAATCCGTGAACAGCGCTCCCGTCTCCGCGGGTAAGGTCACCTGCTGCTGATTCGCCGACAACTGGATCATGCGCAGGATCCCCTTGGCTAGCGCGAAGCGCCGGGAGAACGACCGCGCCACGATGCACAGTTCGACGAACGCGGTGCGGTTCTCGGGCTCGTCCAGCGCTTCGAGGAGTGTGAAGAGACCGATGCTGATCCATTGTATTGTTGACGGGGCCATGCGATCGATGCCCCATTTATCACGGTGGATGCTGAGTAGGTAGGATATTCGACGGGCGGTCGAGATGCAGATAGTACGCGCGCGGTCGGCCATATCGGGGTCGAGGTCGGGACGTGTCTTGAAATTTGAACGTAAGAAACCGAAGATTTGCATTACTGTCGTGTGGTAGAAAAGACTGAGGCTGTGAGCTGCTGTTCATGGTTCAAAAATTGAAATGATGGACTTACTGGATGCTCAGGATGTGTGGTACTGTGGCGTTGTCGGCATCTAAGCACTCGGGCAGATTGGCGTGCCAGCCCTGAAGTTGCCGGTACGTGTCGTTGACAAAGTGCGTGACCGAAAAATCGGGCGATCGGTCCTCCACATTATGAAAAGCTTGGCTAATTCCAATATTGATGCAATTAAGATCGCACCATCGGTCGAAGACGCAGTTGTGGTGGCCGGGCACCGGTTCGGCATCTCTCGGGTATGGCGACCAGACATCGCGAGGATCGTGTTCGATGGAAACGCGAGGACGGCGTGGAGGGCTCACGTCGATATGTTTCATCAACGACACGGCAGCGGTACTTTCAGGTGTTGTTAGCCACGTCAATGAACCGGATGGACGGAAGAACGTACGCGGCTATGCAAAAGGCCCCCCACAGTGTATGACTTACCACCGTCTCCAACTCCCGTGCGGATTCACTGTTGGTCGGTCGAAGTGGATGGGCGGCAGCGTATTCGGTAGCTGATCGCGTCGCTAGATCCAGGTACATCCACCCCATACGGTCTTTTCCCATCAAAGTCATGCTACCCCATGGTTAGTCACGTTAGACAACAACCGTGTCAAGATTCCATTTGACCCACCGGATAAAGAGAATCAAAAGTCCCTGAATGGTCGGCAATGACGCAGCACCGTCCTCCTCTTCCTCCTCTAGCAGCCGTCGAGCCTCGTCGTAAAACTGTGTGCCTCGCGAAAGGGGGTCTCCCGGGACGGTATACACCTCGGCGTAATCGGAGTAGTACTGAGCGCTCAAATGATCAACACACAGCTCACCGGACCGAACGGTGTCGGTGCAGAGCGGGAAAGAGAAAGAAAGAAAAGGCGACATGTCTATGTCAACGTACACTGGCCTCTGAAAGAATGACGTTCACCAGAAAGGGTGAGCAGAATCGGCAGTCCAGGCTGCCGGCCTGCATGTCGCGTACGAACGCGTCCTTGTCCATCCAGTGGAAGAACGGATAGGTCCAGGTCAACCACAACGACACCAAATGTGACACCAGGTCGTCATCGTCGGTCAATTTCGTCCACGGTTTGGCCGGCACACGATAGGTAGGGATGTCGGTGAGTCGTCGAACGTCCAGCATTCGCCGGCCGTTTCGATGGCTGGCTTTCGGCTCCTCGTTCATCTCTGCCTCCTGTTGAGATAAATGCGTTTGGAATTCACGGAGTTCAGGGGATCCTTCGATCTCGGACTGGGAGAATTCCTGCTTCAGGAAGACCTGGAGCTCGCCGAAGGACGCGTTGCTGCGGATCAGGTTCAGCAGCTGGGCAATGCGGGTGCTCTGGCTTTCTCGCAGGGCGTTGACCAGACGCACCAGGACGTCGGAGGCTAGCTCGAGTCGGTCGAGTTTACGCTTCATGGCGAATTTGCGGCGCATATCGGCCATCTCGTCGACGTGGCATTCGATGCCATTTGCCACACAATGTTCGCAGGGCGGATCTCCTCGACACTAGAACGGTGGCAAGGTCAGTCTTGGAAACCAAAGCAGCAAAACGGCAGGGGATGAGGAAGAAGAATGCCCACTGACTTTCAACTTCTTCTGTTTACATGCCCTACAGGCAGTTGTCTTGTGCTTCCTACTGGGCACTACATCGTCGGGGGAGTTGGACTTGTTAGGGGGGATGGGGAACGGAGCGAGCGGACGCGAGGACGATGACTGTGAATCGGACATGTAGAGCAACAAAGAAGTAGGGGGGCTCACATCAACGCCATCACTTTGGCGGGACCCGTGATCTTTTATAGGAAGGAAAGCGTGGCCCTATTTTGGAATTTTGAATTTTGAATTTTTTTTATTTTTTTGGGGTTGGTGTGAAATATGATAGTAGTGAAAGGGACATTCTAAAAGTAGCAGTAGTTGCTCCGAGAGAAGGCCTTAGGTACTCCGTCCTAAGGTAAGCCAGGGAAGAGGTACCTACTCCGTACGTTCTCCCGTGCCGACAAGAAACGAAAAAAGGATGGAAAGCGACTTGGGCGGAAAAAGGTTCAGAGGGCGAGGCATCGATCAAATCCAATCACTACTGAGAGAGTGGATCCCGGCTTTCCATTCTGGGTCCGCCTGCAGATCGACCCACTCAATTCCGCTGGCCGGCTAAGACCTCCAGCCAATGACTTGGATGGCGCTTACCCGTCACGGACAGGGGCGGTCGGTCTAGGCCACGCATTGGCTGATTCCGCCACGCTAAGCGGGCTAGCAGGGTTCCAGAATCTGTCGGACCAGACATCCCATTGGGTCAGGGCGAGTGTGTTCGTCCAGCGGTCGAAAATTTGAAATCAATTAAATCATAATTACGGAGTCCGTCCTGAATACATCATACTGCGTTCGTTCACACGGCTATCAATGTCGGAACCACCTGGAAATCGGAAGTGTCTACCTACGGAGTAGGTAGTCCGTCCTGCGGATCTCTTCCGCCAGATTTGCATCCTTGGTCAAGCCTCATGCAACCTGGTCCGGTTGTCTTGCCCGGGTTGCGACGCATGCACTAACTTTTGACCACCAACCAGAGGTACATACCACCAAGCCATTTGCTACCCCGCGGAAATACATCACCCAGGGATTTTCATTGGACGGTGATCCTGCCAACACCCTGTCGAGTCAGTGACTGGACTGAGACTGCGATGTTTGCTCCGGTCGAATCCATGGATTGAAGACAAGGGACTCGGTAAATCCGACTCGGCTCGAGCAGTTGTCCGCCGTACCCTCCTATCCAATAAGCCTTAGCGACGTTCTGCGTCTTAGTCTGGCCGAGAGGGGGAGGCAGTTAGGGTTTGTCGGATGCAAGGATGTGGCAATGGTATCGTATCAAATGTCAACTGGACTATAAACTATAAAGTCTATCACCGGCGCCGACTCAACGTGGCCCGTGGCCTGTGTATCCTCGAGAACAGACACATTGCATGAACTAGCCGGTCTTAGTCACGGCTTAAACTTAATCTTGTCCCGGTGGTGGGTGAGACAAAGTGCGACGAGGCGTGGCTTGACACGCGCAGTGGCTGTCGGTGCTACTGTACACAGTACAGACATAAAGTCACGTATTACATGAAGTACATTCTGGATGACCAGGCTCTAGACCCGGCCAAGACATTCTGTGCGACCACAGTTACATGACCTGGGATCGCGTGATTGAAATAGATTATCATGGAAAGCCATCGTCTGCAAGCAAACAAAGAGACGAAACTCAGACATGCATGCATTGGCTCTGGATACTTCGGCCTCGGGATATGACACCTTTAGGGTTCAGGGATCTGGGATGTTAGCCCCTGCATGGCATGCCCCGGTGGTGCGCCTTAAGGTAGTACAACACTACAGTCCCTGGGGGCTTCCGCGGTTGCCGACTATGCTAATGACCCGATTCGTTTGGCTGTGCAGCACTAGCGAGGCACTGTGAGACACTTTGAGGCCCATCTATACGGTGGGCTGGCGCTATAATTAACCGAGAGAACCTAGAGTGTCTATCCTTCATACTTTCGCATGACGGGGAATACATAGAAAAAAACTAGTCCATGTTCAGTTGGAAGAATATACGCGCGCAAGGTCTAGGATCATACAATTCACATTCTTAGATGATACTACGGTGTCGCAAACATGAGCACGGCCATAGTGACGGCACCTATGCCCGTGTGTGCGTCGTCTGATCCGTGATAATAACAGCCAGTAGAAATACGATAGATTGAGTCTATCTCTAGTCCGTAAATGCTGATATTTCATGGTATGCTGGCCATATCCGCAGGCCTAGACCATAATCCCTGTTTCATTAACATCAGACTATCCATGGGTTACCCGAGAAATGGGTCAATTTCCGCCCAACTTCCTCGCCTACCCCTCTCCCCACCTCCAATCACCCACACCGTACCCATCCCGGTGCCTAGAATAGCAAACACCGATGCAACACACCCCTGCCTCAGCCTCGTACTATCCCAACACAGTAACGAGGGAAGCAGGGATTTTGTCCAGGGAAGGTACAGTGACAGTATGACACTTTCTGACACCTGGGGAGGGGGGATCTCCATATGGCGCACTAGCTGTACGTTGACTTGATTGGCATGTTTGCGTTTGTGGGTTTATTTGAGGGATTTACTAGATAACCAAGTACTGTGTATGCTTCATTCAAAGAATTCTCTCAATCTCTGTATGATTAGATCCCCGCACAAGTTGTGGTCCAGTGACCAACACGGTAAAGACCGGTCAATCGATTCTTTGTTTGCTTCTCTCCCATGACATCCTTGGCATGTCTTCGGCCGGATGTCCCAGGCATTCATGGGTTGGTCGATGCAGGCATAGCTAGTGTTATGATTGGACGGTTCAATCCAACTAGTTTAGAGGATCCAGAGAATGGCTGTAGAGGGAAATGAGGCCTCCAGCTTTCTGGACTGAGCCTATACGGTGGGGGTTCGAAAATGGTACAATGCATGGCAGATAGTCTCAGACATCCAGGCTTCCACAATATGTACAACTCTTATTTGACTAGCAACTCAATAGACGGAACAATAGGGATGGTCGAGCTATTGATGGGTGTCTGGCCTATTGAGGGTTTAATTTGATCTGGTATTGGGCTTTTTCATGTGTAACAAGCATGGAAGACGCACGTAATTTGTGACACTGTTGGGCAGTCTGGGGTAGGAAGAGGTCCCATTTTCACATGCTTCCTATGGGGCAAAGCCACTGCGACTACCAAGATCAAGAAGGAAACGTATGGACTGATTTTATTTCCGAACGAGGTTCAGGGTCGGCGACTGGAAAAACAAAGAAAGAACTTTTAATGGCGTTGGTTTAGGAGCTCCCGCCTCAGGCACCTATTTCTTAGGCTATACCGTCGGTATGACACAACCCAACCCCAACCACGCACCCCTCACAAGACATACCTGAAAAACGGATTCTGCTTATCCGTCAAATCCTGAAATGCCAACTTATCCCTCAAACTCTCATCCACATCCATCGCATCCCTCCTCCGATTCTCCCTCCACAGCACCACATACAACGCCGTCGCCGCCGCAATGGTGATACAATAGCAAATGATCAGCCCCTGCCATAGCTCCGGATAATGCTGATCGACCGTCTTGCTATTCACCAGCTGCGGCCCGATGATGTTACCCACCGTGTAGGCCACGAACACCGTCGCCGCCATGATGGTCTTCTTCGTGGCGCCGGCTACGTTGCTGGCGCCCAGCGTGATGATCAGGCTGACGACGGGTCCGAAGAAGCCCGTGATTGCGTACCCGGCTACCGGCGTGGCGGGTTGATAGCCCCAGGTGGATTTCCAGATCATAATGCAGCCGGCGATGACGGGGAGACAACAGGCGATGAGCATTGGGATACGGGTGTTGGGGATGCGGGACGAGATGTACCCGCAGAGGGGGATGAAGATGACGCAGACGGCGCCGACGGGGAATTGAAAGAGGATAGAATCGAGGGTGTCGAAGCCGAAGGTCGACACGATGAGGGGGCCGAAGCCGGAGATGGCGCCGTTGATGGTATATCTATGATTGTTAGGACGGGAAGCAGTTGGGCAAAGGTGAGAGGAAAGACGTACGCAGCGGCCATCATGATCGCTACAAGGTAGACCTTCACGTCCAAGAAAGCCTCTTTGATCTGATCCTATTTGATCTGCTGGCAGCGGACTCCTGTTTGGCCCTTTCGGAGTCGTTCGACGGCTACCACGCGCTCTTCTGGGGTCAAGAACCAGGCGGAAACGGGCGAGTTGGGCATCATGCAGCACCAAAGACCGAAGAGGAAGGTCAAGGCTCCCGCAAAAATGTAAATGTATTGCCATCGCGTCAACGAGCCCGAGGTGATCTGCCCGAATGCGTAGTTCAGCGCTCCTCCAATGATGGTGAACCATCCGGTGCCGGAGAACCACCACGCCTGACGCATGGCTTGCTCTTGCTGGGTATAGTACCCGCTGACGATGGTCATGAAACCAGTTGGCACGACGCTTTCAACGAATCCTACTCCTCGTTAGACATGTCCCGCCCAGTTTGGGGTTTGTTTCGTACCGAGGAAAAACCGCTGAACAAACAGGCCCTGCCAGGTTGTCACGCCTGCAGTAGCCGCACATGTGATGGCCCACAGCATAACAATCGGTCCGAAGACATATCGGATTTGGAATCGCTGGAGAATGAACGTCATCGGGTACAGACCCGCTAGCATACCGAAGTAAAAGATCGAGGTTGCCCAGCTGAGACGCGATGTATCTTTGGAAGGCGGCGAGGTGGAGTTATCCACCACTATCAGGGCCAGATCGGTCGTCATCCCGAATAAAGATGCACTTCCCAGAATAGCCTAACCAGTTAGACAAGTTGATGAGATCTAAGAGAACGCAGCTAACCTTATCCCAGTATACAAATCCATACCCTATTTACCGGTTAGCAATTGGGTACCATGGTCGAGTAGAATCAGCGAAAGCTTACCGATCAACATCGCCGGCATAAAGAACAAATCAATCTTGCGCAGCACACGCTTTTCTACAGCCGGATCAATTTCCCGCGCCTCGTCGCTCACCACCTCCAGCGCCTCATCCTTCTCGGCTGCGATGCCATCGGACGCGTGTTCGGCTGTTGCGCTAGGGACCTGGATCATTGTAAGAGCTTTCTAGGAGTGTCGGACAACAATCGCCATCAAAGGTCAGATCAGAATCTGAGAATATGTGCAAGGCAGACACTGAAGATATTGCCACTATTACTAGTCAATAAAAAAAATTCTCATGTAGAAATCCTTGAAGCGCCGGTGAACGTTACTCCGTAATTTCTTAGATTGGCGGAGAAACTTGCCGCTTGGGATTTGGCGGGGCCCCATTCCTACTCTTCCCGACATCGGATGGAGACAATTTCATATGGAGTCAAGACAGTATTTTCGAGGATTTCGCACACATTGATGGGTCTCAGAGGTTAGATTGTATGTTCCATCGTGATGTAATGAATGTATGGGACAGTTTAATGTCCGGATCTCTTATGGTCACGCTTTCAAAATGAGTTGAACATAGAATTATATAATCTCATCGGCTAGGCAGCTCAAATCATCGTTCAAACATCAACGATAGTTTCGGCTATCTAATATCAGCTTTTAATTGATTGTAATGAGTGAGAAAGCGAGGGAAAAAAAAAAGAAAAGAAAAAAGGGGGGGGGGGGAAGGGGAAGTATATCATGGCAGATAAAGCCCATATCCATATTCAGCGTTGCACTTGGAACATAACAGTCATGCGCTGAGCCGGAAGCAGTTTAAAAACCAGCGAGAGGGCCAGGGAAGCATCCGCAGTTCACAAGTATTGCCGCTGATTTGGCCGTCTGTCGTGCAAATTTCACTGCCTCAGCGTCGTCGGTTACCGTGGGTCATATTCATCGCACCGGGCCTGTTTTTAGTGGTCCTTGAAACGTTTAAGATTGACGTAGAAGCAATTTTGAGTAGAATGGCAAGCTGACTCTCATGGTCTGTTGATATTATCTGCAAGAATCAAGGATATCAAAATCTAGACAATCACCGGAGACAATCAACTATCGACCCTCCCCACTACTACTACCCCCAGAGGCCTCCAGGTCTTCTTTCCCCCTTGGAGCGAAGCTGCTCACTTCGGACTTATCCTGTCCCTTCCGAAGACCAGTAAGCGCGATGGTCTCGTCTTTGAGCAGGTACATATACCAGTAATATGTCGCTGAGTCTCGCATTAGCATATCCATCGTCCACCCCAGCACGAGACGGTACTCACCAACAAACAATCCACCACCCACAATGTTCCCTAGAAGGGTCGGAATTATCCCTTTCCAGATATACAGCCCCACAGTCAACTCAGGAGCCTTCAACCAGATCGCCATCGGAATGAAAGTCATGTTGGCAACGACGTGGTCGAATCCTAGCGATACAAAGGCGAAGATGGGCAGCCAGATTCCGATGATCTTAGAAGATAGTTCTCTTCCTTGGAGGCCGAGGAAGCAGCCTAGACATACTAGCCAGTTACAGCCGATGCCCCGGAGGAAGATCATGTGAAAGTCCGGGGTGAGTTGCTTTTTGTTGGCCATGGTGATGACTTGGGATTTGTAGGGTTCGGCGGAGAAGGCGTTTCCGTCTGCGTTAGAATTGGTGTCAGCATGCAGAGAAGTGAGCTGGGATTGATATACAGGGCGAAATACATACAGCCGAAGATGATAGCAACGATGAATAATGACCCAGCGAGGTTTCCCCAGAAAGTGACGAACCAATGTAGGAGCATTTTGAGCCAGGAGATTCGGCGTTGAAGAGCGGCTACTGTGGTATACTGCAACGGATTAGCGATGTTCATGACATAAATTGGGTTACGAAACGAACCATAAAAGAACCCGTGCATAGATCCGCTCCTGTCAAGACGATTATGACGAGCCCATACGGGAAGACCAATGCCCCGATGGTCCGGATGAGTCCTGGGGCATTCTCCTGGTACCACGACGCAGTGTTGGTACTCAACACCGTACCACATGCGAAGGCAAGTAGACAACCGGCGGAGAAAGCGCTGAAAAATACTTTATCAAGGCGCATATTACCTTTGGTGGCTCCTGCGCGGGAGACCAGCTCGGCCACTTCCGCGGGAGTGTAGGCGTCCATGGTCGTGGGAATAAATGAGCAGTGACGGTAGACGACGGAGAGACCAACACAGGGTGTACCAGGAAGAATAAGTATTATATGAAGTGCCAATCTCCGTGATGAGATAATATAAGATGATATACTCAACCTTGAGCGCCAAGATCTGGACAATGATCGCCAAGCGTCCCAGGGTGGCCAATCAGCAAGGGAGCCTGCTTATCGCGGATCGACAGACATTCCTTTAGCTCCAGGAATGGGCGAGTCATTGCATCTGCTGTTATCGTGGAGACTCTGTCCGCGGAAGTGCTTCAACCTGGGCAATCAGCATCCAATGCCGAGCTAGGGATAAGGGCCTGACTGTGGGATTATTGTCTAGGGGTGGTACGGCAGTATGCTAGTTCATGCTGTATCTCTCGTCAGAGTAGATCCAGGCCGATCACTTGAATATTGGGAAGATTGGGCGGAGTGCTGAAGTCATAATCTCATATCACATGCGGTCGATCCATGTATTATCATGTACCCCGTCACGCAGATGGCGTTGTCGGTGAGAGCTTGTCTTGGGTATGGCTGAACGAACCGTTGGGTGGTTCGTCATTGAGCATTGCTCATTGGTGACGGTCATTGCGACGACGTACTCCATGCATTGCCTTGAGGAAGCACTAGGTTAGGTATCATCTCAAGAGGAAGGACATTGGCCATGCCCTGATCGACTCCCCTCACTCGCGAGGGAAATTGTGCCGACTGCCGCAGCCGCAGTAACCAAGTTGATCTGGCCCTACAGGGTTGGACAGGAAATTTTAATGCGACAACTGATACTCGTTCGAGAAAAGATGGGCTTTAAACCTGACCGCTGCTAAAATCGCCAACGATGATTCCAACGTTCCTAGGTAAACTCCTACGTCATGTGTAGTACAGCCAAGCCGTTCGGCATGCCGATGTGTAGCATCCCCCCGGGGATAAGTAAGCTGGAATTGATCTTCGGTCGGAAGACTCGAACTAATGATCGCCATATGGATCGTCACACCAGGTTGGCTTCCAGGTCCAATCCTACGTAGTTAGGCACTGAATCCACCCCTGTGGCCGACTTGTCCTGGAGTGCTGACCTCGTTCGTCTTGGCAGCATGCACAACCATGCTATAGATTGGCGTGTGCTTTTAGATAAACTTCTTGCATTTAGGATTGAACCAAATAGGTTCGACGTGTCGGCCTAATGAGCGCTCTACATCATGATCATATCAGCCGCCTGTTTGATTTGTCTCGTTCTTTCGGTCATCTGGTTGAACCGATAGCTTCTGAGTCAATGCGACTGCACATCCACAATTGGACTTCACATGTTTTATTGATGCTAGCTTCCCCTCATTCAATATCTGCAGAGCCGTCTCCATCATCACTTGGCACTAAAACCGGATGTACGTGGTCTCGAACTCTGTGGAAGAACGTCTTATCTCAGGTGCCGAGATCTATAAAAACATTGCCGTCGACAGGTAAAATGTCGGCTAAAGGCAGGATATTTTGTTTGGAAAATTAGACCAGTAACATTCCAGGTTCGCCACTCCTAAACTAACACTTTAATTAGATCAAAAGTTCCCGTGACGTGCTTTCGCTGAAGAGATTGACCTATCTGCGCACAGCCGAGGATGATTATCTGATCAGACCGGATGAGCCGAGGGATCTTTTGGCGCTGGTCTGACATCTTATATGCCCCCCACCATGGGTTGTCCCCCACCGATGATATTCTCATCTTATATCTTTGTCTCTCTGTACAGTCTGTCGGTATTTGCTCAATTGTCAAAAGGATCGCCGAACCCCTAGCCTAGCCACCATGGTCGATCATGATTTGGCAAAGACCCTCTCGGCGCGTTATTATGTGCCGGGGCGCATTTTGTCAAATATCGAGGCTCAAGCTGGGCAGGATCCGCAGTTAGGGAATCAAAGTTGTGAAAGCTTTGTTTCCACTCGATCGGCATCTACAGTTGCTACTTCTAATCGCGTGAGTAAGCGTGGGAGGCCGAGGATGTCACCAGCGACAGAGGCAGCGTCTCATGTATGTACGTCCTTGCTGTATTAGATGAGACTATAATGAGCCAGCAAGACGCTAAATAGAACAAGGATCGTCGCACTCAAGTTCGGCACGCACAACGAACATACCGACAGAAAAAAGAAACAATGTTCCGAGACATGAAGAACCGGGTCTCCGAGCTGCAAGACACCGTTGATCGGATATCTGCCTCCCTCTCCGACTTCCACGAGATGGCTATCCAATCAGACCTTCACGTAACCCATCCGTACCTCTTTGAAAAGCTCAATGAGACGATCACTCAGGTTCAGCATGGAGCTGAGATTGGAGACCGCAATTGGGTCCACACCGAGCACACTCAACACGAACGAAGCAACCCATTCTATCCCACCGCAACAACAACAACCAGCGCCCTCGACCCATTCACATTCGGCTACATGATCAGTCCCGACGAGCAACAAGACCCAAGATCTCGTCACCCAACAATATCCCACGACAAGCAGCGCCCCGTCCGATTCACCCACTCTCTATACTCGTACCATTTACGACAGATCGAAAAGCCCCTGTCCGGAAGCAGTACACAAACGCACAGTTTCCACGAAACCGACTTCTCAAGGCGCCTGCAGCGCTACTGCCTCGAATACACCTGGCGCATCTTCGTCGATCCCAACGCCAACCCCCAGGAGTTCTACCGAGTATTCAGACTCGTTCCCTGCATCCGGTACAGCGACAAAATGCGCCCTTATCTGCAATGTCTCGTTCGTTCGGGGTCCCATGAATCGCTGGATATTGCCGCCGCGCCGTTCTACTGTATCGGGGGCGCGGGCACGCATTACCCCCGGCGACTGAACGGGGAGCCGGTTTATCCTGAGAATATGCGACTACCGAGGAGGATACTGAGCATATTGCCGCATTCGGGTGCAAAGGATGATATGGTGGACGCGTCGATTGACGATAGAGATACTCTGCTAAAGGCACTGGGGCTGCATGGTATATGGCTGGACTGTCATGATGTCCAGGGGTATTTGGAAGAGAAGGGGTTGGCGCTGGACGGTCCTTCGTGTGTCTATGCGTCTGGCTCGGGTGTCGCTACCTCCGAAGTATCCCATCCTAGGGTCGATCGTTCCGTGATGGATGTGGATGCGCAGAGCGAGGATATGGTGCCTATTAAGAAATTTCATGGCCGCGATGAGGAAAATCCAGGTAAATCCAGCAACGGCGATTTCACTTTAAATGTCGAAGAATTCTTCCACTGTGAGTATAGCTACAGAATCGTACATGTGCACACATGCTAATATGAACAGCACTTCTGAAAAACATGATCATCCTAGGTAGGGCGCCAGGCTTCCGACTAATCGACGTGGAAACGGCTTTCAAGTCGACTGTGAAACTGTCGTCTAAATGAAATTTCCGTTATGATTTCTGCAGTTGAATATTCAATGCCACTATTGCTGTATATAAGATGCATCCAGTTCTTCCAACACACGTCATATAGCCTAGAAACTTCTGTGCCTCAAAGCCTGTGCTCGTGCCTTCCAGGCAAAACACTAACTAGGAACAAGTAATGACAGTTGGTTTTTCATGGAACCAGGCTCTTTTGACTCCTGGAAAATACCTCATCACCCAAGGTTCCAGGGTTTTCTTGACCCCGAAAAGTCAACTTATGACATCTCTCAGCCCTCTGGGAACCGTTCCCCGATACTTTAATTGACTGATTTCCCGGGAAGATTGACAGAGAAATTTTCTGGCGCTCTTCTTCCCTTCCTGCAGGCCCGAGCCCCTAATAGAACAAGAAAGATACATAAAGAGAAAGAAAAAAGAAAACCATCCCTCATACCTCTACAGACAGCCATACGGCTCAATATACACCTCCCAGGTCCCTCCAAGAATCTCGCACGAACTATTTGTGATTCTCGCCGAATCATACCCAACATCTCAGCAACATACATCTACCTCCACCTCAACAATATGGCATCCCTCTGGGTACTTCGCGAGATCGCCTTCTTCTGGGGTTGTTGTTTTCTAGTTTCTATGCTCTTTCTTCTTTACTGAAATCATTTGTGTGCTGGGAAGTGATGGGCTTTTCTCTATTTCTTGGTTCTCCAGGGAGCTCAGAGCATCTGTGTGGATTCGTTTTTCGGGATAGAAGATGGAGGATTGTACTTCTTAGCAGTACTTATCCATAGGGAACCGAGGTAGATGCTATATTAATCAAATGGTAGCTTCGGGATCCTGTGTTCATATCCTACCTAAATAGACAGCTACCTGCTACACATACACGTATGTGGCGCATCCAACCGGTTCCTGACAGGTTTTGAGCCCGGGGTATGTGCTACGTGACCTCTTTCGGGATACTATGAGTACTTTGGGATACTATATAATATATATCAACCGAATTGCATCCTCAGAGATACAAGCCCTGGTATGACAAATCCCACTCAAGATACTTCCTCCCAACTAAGCTCATTATGAAACCATCCGTCACTTCCAAACTAGATCTCCTCCTTCCCAATAAGCTCCTCGACTACCCATCCCCCTCATCATCCCGCCTCCTCAATGTGCCCGGTGTGCATAATCTACGTGACCTCGGCGGTCTACCAACCCGTTTTGGTCGCATCAAACGAGGAAAGGTCTTCCGTAGCGCTCAGCCAGGCACCATCACGCCCGCCGGAGCACAAGCTCTACGAAGTCTAGGTATCAAGACGATCTTTGATCTTCGCTCCAAAGGAGAAGCCGAGGCCCTTGACCCTTCGTTGCGGGTCAAACAGGTAAACGGTATACGGAGGGTAGCGGTGCCTGTGTTTGCTCGACATGGTAGTTCAAGATCTAGGATCAAGAGCTATGCAATGGGGGAGACTGTATGCTTCGCCCAACCCACATCCTCCCCTCCTCTCTTTCTTCATCGTGCGTTGCAATGCGGTAGCAGAATTATAACAACTGAATATCACCAGGGCTTCCGAAAAAAATACCGCGATATCCTAACCTCCGGCGGTCTCGCATTCCGTCCCGTACTGCAGGATATCCGTGACAATGGCTCCTCCGGATGTCTATTCCACTGTACCTTGGGACGAGACAGAACGGGGATCCTGTCGGCAGTGATACTGGCTCTTGTAGGCGTGGATGACGCGACGATTGAGCTGGATTACTGTTTGTCGGATCAGGGATTGGCGGACTGGCGGCCTGCTTTGAGGGGGATTGTGCTCAGGATGGAGCCGGGGCTGTTTGGAGTGGGGGAGGTGGAGAACATCTTGAGCGTTAGGTACGTATCATTTTGCTCCTTTCTTTCTTTCTTTCTTTCTTCCTTTTGGGTCTGGGAGCTGAGGCGAGATTGTTTTCTGAAACTCGCGCTATGAGCAGGGCTGACTTATATAGAGCATTGAGGTTGACAGATACATTGGGGTTCATGAGGCGGAGGTACGGTAGCGTCGAGGGGTATGTGAGGAGCTGTTGTGGGTTGGACGAGGGTGATATTGAAGCCATTAGGGGGAATCTTCTTGAGAAGAGCGGGATCTCATTTTGAGTGGTTAGTTGTCACGGATTGAAGTACTTGCCATCCTTTCGAGACAATTCTCTATCCGATGGAAACACGAAGATGAGCTTCGATCTACATTTAGCTCCCCTGGACCCTCTCGCACACATAGGTCAAGTGAGCCAGCCAATTATAACGTCCAGAGAACCTAGATGTCAGAAATAGCGAAAGTCCACTCTGGTATGTTGGGCCAATAGAATGGAGATTGGAACGAGTTGGCACGACCCGCAGAGCATCAGTCACGCGGCTATATTTGCAGTCATAAGATAAGGATCTAGGTTCAAATTTGTATCAAGTACACATTCATGCAAATCAATAATCATTCCGCTCAATTGTTTTCCTTCTCCACACTAAGAGTGTTTCTAGTGCTAGAGTACAGTTAGCCACCCGGATCTCCTACAACGACAGAGATACTCACAGTAATATCCTCCCACGCATCCCATCCACGACCCTTGACTTGTTTCAAGTCCTCCTCGGTAAACTGCTTCCCGGTCGTGAAGTACCCCGAATGAATCTTTGCGTCAATCTCTACCCTCGAATCCTCGGGAATCATTTCTACTGGCGCGTCAGTACCATTCCAAATATGAATCATATACAACTCACCATCAGGGATCGGAATTCTCTCCAGGATGGGGATTCCCTGCTCCACAATAGCATCGTGCTTCATATTCGACATGGAGAGCATGCGATCCACCTTCGTAATGCCCAACCAATGCAAGATGTCTGGCATGAGGGCTTGGAATCGCATCTAATCCTCATTAGATATGTCTGACCGAAATTGTCCTGAAAGGACAGGGAACGGAAAGGAGGGGAGGAAGGGGCCTTACATCCTTCGTGCCAGCAATATTCTCCGTGCGCTGGAAATACTGATCCGCCGTATCACCACCTCGTTTTCGCGAGTTATAAACCAAATACTTAACCACCTCACCCAACGCGCGCCCTTCTTTCCGGAAGTATATCACCACCCCTGAGCCGCCGTTCTGCGCCTCCTTGATCGCTTCCTCGATCCCAAATACAAGATACGGTCGACACGTACAGATATCGGACTGGAACACATCCGACCCGTTACATTCATCATGAATCCGCAATGCCAGACGAATATTCGGATCCGATACCCTCTCCGGTGGCCCGAAGATGTACACCGTCAGTCCGCCAATTGGGGGCAAGAACACCTTCATATCCGGACGGGTGATAAGCTCGGGGTAGTTTCCACCTGTGTGCTCGAACAGGGCTCGTCGAAGAAGCACCTCGTCAACGCCAAACCGCGCCGCCACACCCGGTAGATACCAGACTGGCTCCACGGCTACCTTTGTCACTCGCACGTCGCCCTGCCCGTTCAACACGATATTCCCGTCGATCGGGAGTCGACCGATCTTAATAGCTTCGCTGATCTCGGAGACACGCATTGTAGCCCGCGTCACGGCGATGGTTGGCCGCACGTCCAAGCCCGACTCGATGTGGGAGGAATAGTGTTTGACGATATCGTGGCCGAAGGGGTCCATGGAGACGATCTTGGTCTTATCGCCCCATGCGGCCTGCGCGGGGAAGTTGAACGTCGGCTGCGTGTTGAGGAAGTTCGGTCGAAAGTCTGGATCAAGTGCCCCCGAGGCGATGGCCAGCGCACCGTAGATCGCGTAGCTGCCGCCGTGAGCGCCGATCGCGTTGCGTTTGCTGATGGTGCTTTTGGATCGCGAGACGATGACAGGTCCGCGTGAGGCCGGTGTCGAGGCGCCCCAGTTTAGGGGGATCGGGTTCGCGACGCTTTGGTTGGGGTAGGTTGTGAGCTGGGAATGTTAGTAGCTAGTTGGGTTGAGGAGGAAAGGGAGATGTGTGGATGGCATACGACGATGCGGTTGGAATAGTGCTCCATTACCGACTTGGTCGGGTTTGTTGTGCCTGTCATTTTGAGGTTTGGGGAGGATAGAGTGGGAGTAGACGATAGAATACGAGTGCACAAGATGAAGTAACACAGAACTACTCTTTTCTACTTGATGGACATCTGTATTATATACCTAAACGTCCCTACGGTCGGTCTCATCCAAATTAGCAGACAGAGTGATAAGCCTTGCGTGCAATCTGGACGGAGGTTGCGGATGCGCCGGACACCTATCAGCTGTCATCGTGCCCTAGTGTAGTCCGGAGATTAGCTGGCGAGCTATCGGCTGTGCCAGTGCAACATAAGCAACACGGGGAGGAGATCCTTGGTAGATAAAGCTACTGCGGTCGAATGAGGGGAGATAAGAGCTGCGGTGCGGGTTATCTTGGCTTATCTTCGGTGGTATCTCATCTAATCTTATCTTATCTCTGCTTGGCTGGTCTCTATATATGGGTCAAGGACAAAGTGGTTTCACGAAATTGAAGAATGATTGCTGGCTACATGTTTTTGTTGGAGCTTTCTATGGTGACAGGGCTTGGAGTCAGGGTACGAGCATTGCAGATAGGGAACATGCTAGAATATCAGGGCTACGTTTTTATATAGCTTGGCTCTTCGAGAGGGCTAAATCCAGAATGAATTCAATTGATCTGTCCTGCTCACAGCCCGAGACGTAGCTGCACGGGAGTTCGCCATTTAAAACAATGTACCATCGCCAGAGTTTAGAATCGGACTACACTTACTCTCCGGCCTCTTCGCAGCGGCCAACTCCCTTCCGGCTTTCCAAGATCCTGCCTCCAGTATCTGCGGCAGAGTCAACTTGGTCTCACCGAACCGACCACTCGCTAAGATGCGTCTATGCAACACGTCAAGAAGAGCGACCGTCATTGCACGCCACTCAACAATCTCATCATCCATAACTTTATAACAAGGCAGATTGGTCCCGGAGGTCTTCAACCCTCGCTGCAACGTATCGGGCTTCAATGTAAGGACACCCATATCCACGAACAACCCTCCATTTCGGTACTCCGGTAATCCAGTACCTAGCTCGGCATTGGTCCATTTGACAGACAGGAGGCGTTGGAACGGGACCATTAGCGAGTATGCCAGCCACTGAGTGAGTTTGTGGAATGGCTGTATGTTGCCCGTATTAGATTTGCAGGGGTTGTATGAGAGTACTTTCAAAGGCCATGCGTCTCCAATAGGGTTTCCATCAATGCGGGTCCGGTCGGATGGCCAGATTGGGATCAAAGTGGTTTGCAGGGCGTCCCAGAGCTGAGTGTAGTCGATGGTCTCTATGCTTTGAGATTTCAGGTAGTCTACGTAGTGTTAGGCAAAGCGTAACTCATGCATTAAGAAACGACACTTACCAACAAGCCTTCCTGGACGGCCCTCCGGACCATAGATATTTGACAGTTTTCGGAGGGAGGATCCCAGTTGTTGAATGATCTCGGCCCTCGCGTTAACCCCTACTAGAGGGTTGTCGCCATTGACTTGGAAACCACGAGACAGCTCTTCCGCAGTGATGTTCTGCAATGCCTCCCCTAGTCGAAACTGCGTCAGCCCCCTATGTAATAAGTGCCGAGGTCGGATACGCTTACCATGCACCACATCCTTACGCGAAGAACCCTTGTTTGCAAAAACCCCATCCAAAAACATATAAAGTGAGGCAACAGCAATGCCCTCACTTCTGTTATATACCTGTCCAGATTTCTCCTCGCGGAAGCGCCAGTGATCTCCGGCGCCGGCGTCCAAGAGAACCGATACGAAGAACAGGTCAACTAGGCTTCGTACTTTCTCTGCATTGTCGTATCCCTGTGAGTCCCATCGCTCGATCAACTCTGCGATCCTAGGTACTCCACCGACGTCGAAATGCTGCCAGCGACCGTGAGGGGGGATCTGGTCGTACTTGTCCGGTCCGAAGTCTCTCTTTACGGAGGAATGTGTTAGTAGAGTTCCATGTCCTTAGTAGGATGGAGTACTCACCTCGATAATATCCATCACATACTCGGCGGTTGCGTCTAGTTTCTCTGGATGATAGTCAAAATGGTTGAGTTTGCCTTGCTCCGCATTCTGGAAGACGATTTGCGCTCGTTCTCGGACGGCCTTCAGGCTAAGGAGATACTTGATTGTGTCTGACATGGTGGGTAGCTTGAATGTTGACAATGTGAATATTTCCCAGATACAGCCGAAACAGAAGAAAGCTTCGTAAGGTAGAGGAGAGGTTGACAACGCACCCAGAATGAGGGGTTGGATGCAGGTCAAGAGCAGGTGATTTGGTACGCGGCGAGCTGCAGGTGCCAAGCCCTTCCCGTTTAGGTCTTTGGGCTGTCTCCGAGGCTTATCGCCGGGGAGGGCTGATAGGGCTATCTTATCTGATGGGCTTGGAGTAATCTATAGCGTGAGATAGTCCGGCGATATCATGTCAAGTCCTGGTTATACCGAGTGTCCATAGTAACGGCTTCGTCCTATATCAACTCTGATACCTGTCCCAGTCATCGAACACCCATCTCCCAATAACATTTCTCTCCACCATCTATCCCACCCTTACCACTTCACATCCCAGCAGCACATACTAGCAAACCAGCCGCCAAAATGGCCATTTCCCACCTCTCCAGCGTCCACACAATCCAAGATCCCACATTTACCACCCTCCTCGACCAGCTGCGCGACCGTACCCTCACCCCCTCAAACGTCCGAGCCCTAGTACACGAAGCCGCCTCCACAATCGCCCAAAACATCACCCTCAAGGCCCCCGCCAACGAAACACTCGCAATCATCGTGGTCCTACGCTCCGGTCTGGCCATGTTCGAGGGCTTCATGAAGAACGTCCCCGAGGACGTCACAACGGCCGTCTATCACATGGGTATCTTTCGTGATGAATCGTCCCTGCAGCCCGTCGAGTACTATAACAAGTTGCCCATGAAACCGGCGCATATTAAACAGGCAATTGTGTTGGATCCGTTGATTGCAACTGGGGGTACGGCGGGCGCGGTGGTGGATATTTTGAAGTTAGTAATCTCCCTTTTCCATTTTCTTGTTCGTATCCTTGTTTTGTGTGGAGAAGCTAATTGTTCGGCATGGTAGGGAGTGGGGAATTGACAAGGTTACGTTCTTGTCGTTGTTATCGACGCCTGTTGGGCTGGATCGTGCTGCGAAAGTGTGGCCTGAGTCGACGGAGTTTGTGGTTGGTGCTGTTGACCCGGGTTTAGATGATAAGGGGTATATTGAGCCGGGAGTGGGGGACATTGGAGATAGGTTGTTTGGAACGGGATTTTAAGAGGGCCGGTATATGTTTCTTGATAGCAGATACCACTTGAATATGGCGCTTTAAGTGCTCGAAGCTGACAAGTTAGTTAAGAAACGTAGCATGTAGTCTTTCCTACACTATCTGCAAAGGCTTTGGCAATAGTTACAATAAAGGTGACCCTTTGATAGACGTGGATAATTAGAGAAACATCTCAGTTGCCAGGTCCAAAGTTATTCAACGCTTCAACGCCACCTTGTTTTACTACAAGTTCAATTATGTCTTGAACAAAACTCATAAGATTGGAGATAAGTGGCATGTCATTTAGCAGCCTATTCTGGTATGTATATGTTCAAGATGTGTAATTTAAGCACCAAAGCCAGATAGTCAAAACCAAACGCCAACACAGTCAAAATAGACGACATCAAAAGCTACCACCCAGCCAAACAGAAAACACTAAGTACCATAATACCGGTCTCCAAAGTCACCCACTCCAGGACTAATATAACTTCACAGAGCACAGTCAGCAAACAGAACAGCTAAAACCAACCGACAGGAGAACACTCACTTCTCAGCAGTAAGGTCCGAGTCCACGGCCGCCGACACAATTCTCAATTCAGGAAAGGTCGTCGACACAACATCAAGTCCTTTCTTCGAGGCTACCACATTGACGAGAACAATAGAATTTTCAGGCACGTCGTGGTCTTTCAGTGTCTGGACGGCTTTAATGACTGAACCCCCAGTTGCAAGCATTGGTTCCAGGAGTAGCACCACTGATTCATTAGCTCTACAGCAAAACGTACATGTGTCTAGATATAGGCGGTAGACTTACCATTATCTTTGATATGCCGTGGTAGCTTTGAATAGTACAGCTGTGCTTTACTTGTTTGCTCGTCTCGTTGGATTAGAATGTGTCCGAAGCTCAATGGGCCCCTAGATATCGAGATTCCTTAGCATGGTGTATAGCTAAGCAGTTGGGAGAAAGACCAACATCCATGTATTCCGCAGCGCATGCTCCATGCTAGCGCCTGCCCGGAGTACGCTCACTCCACATACGTCCTTGGTATGTCGAATTCCCATATAGGTCGCCCCTGTAGGCGTCTTTATGGTTTGAGGCTCCGACGGAACATGAGTGAGTGCTATCTCTGTTAGTGTAATCTAGATCGACAATTGGACAGACATTGTACAGTACATACCCAAAGTGATAAGCCGTTGGGCAATTCTGTCGACGGCAGAACAGAAGTCGCGGTGCGATGTGCTTGCGTCTCGGATTTTGGTCATCAGACTGAGAAGAGGTGCATCTTGCTCGAGTTGGGTGATTCGATTGATCGGTGGTAGTTGTTCCGTGGGAGTTACGCCATTGGATTGTTCCATCGTTATTGGCGGAAGTTGATTAGGTGTTAGACTGGAGGGTTTGAGAGCACTATCGGAACTGAGGCACTAGAAGGAGACAGGACTTAAAGTCGCTACTTTCCGAGGGAAGTCAGTGTTTTAGAGCGTCGAGGTAGAGACAACTGCTGAAACCTGTCTTTCGTATATCTGCACGATGCTGTTCAACGGTAGGTGCCGATTAGATGGCGCTGATAAGATATGATCACCCACGGACCGATTAAGCTTATCGCAGTGCATCAGCTGCTTTTTGATAGAGGCTCCAGCAGTGACTTGTTATCGGACACTGCCGCACGTTAGAGGTTTATCAGTGAGGGAGGTGCCATGTACTCCTCAGGTTCTTTGTATTCAGATGCTTCGCAGCCACCCCCTCACGGGAATATGTTTCCCCGCAATTGGGTTATGCAGGAGGTAAAGGGTCATGTGCTGAGTGATCTTTGTCTATCTTGCTATATTTGACAGTATTTCCATGAGATCATACAGACAGGAGTACGCTAGAGTAGGATTCATATTTTCCAGGATGATGTGCTCCTTCAGCTGGTAGTCCTTCGATACCCCCACCTTGAGTGTTATGATGTATATACCTAGGTCACTAACCACCCAAAGTCATTGAAACCCCTGAACCTCTATTTCAATGGAGTTTCAAAATGACAGTAATAACTAAATAACCATGTGTCCTCCTTAATGGTATCATCACCAACACAAGATGCTGGTATCCAGCCTTATCACCCTTACGTAAGAGACCCCCACACCTTATCAGTCTTCCCCGCAAAAAGGGGACCGAGGCGATAAGGCATAACCTCGCAATCAACAATCATGAAGATAGCCATCTCCCTGCTCAATTTTGCGCGCGATAGCTGACCATGCCAAAAGCACCGGTGACTTCTTCCAGACGCGTTAGATTCACGCCTTTTGCTAGCAGTGTATCGCCTAGCAGTGGTGAGGATAGTAGTGCGCCAGTTGCAGCTTCAGGCCATGTGCGGCGCCGATCGGACGATGGGCGCGATAGATCGAGTCGATCGAGAGCGGAATCTAATCATGAGATTGACCCCGTGATTGAGATTGAAGATCTAGAGGACTACGAGAATGAACGACGATCTCCGGATTTGGAAGAGTCTCCGCCCCCGCCTCCTACGGTAACGCATTTGTTTATCAATAATAAGCGTGTAATGTCGAGGGCGAAGAATTGGGGGAGTGTTTTGGACCCGGTATACATGACTCTCCTGCGATATTGCTTATTAAATTGGGTTGATAATAATGATATGAAATGTAGGTGTCGCAGCGATTGCTGTGCAGAGTGCCGACAAGCACACTTTTCGAGGTCCAGAGTGCAGTCGATGCCGCGGAGGATGCGCAGCCAGAATGGGCAGCGCTGGGATTTCAAACGAGAAGAGAACATCTTCTGAGGCTAATTGATGTGCTGAGAGAAATGTCTCCTGAGATTGTGCGAGACTTGATCCTTTTTCGGGGAGAAAGCAACAAGGTTAACTCCTGTTCCAGGTAACCTGCCTATCTCGAGAAGTAGGCAAAACGCTGGCGGATGCAGACGCAGAGGTCTTCCGGGGATTAGACTGTATCCACGCCGCATGTTCAGTTGGCCCTGAGATGGCGGGCATGTACCTCAACGACGTCACCTTGCTGCAAACCTTCTATGAGCCGATCGTGAGTCTCCTATCCATTAACCTCACATCCCTAAAACTGACCGAGGATCAGGGAGTCTGCGTGACGATCACCCCCTTCACCTTCCCGTTCATGATCCCTCTCTGGTCACTCCCGTATGCGCTGATAACGGGAAACACGACCATCCTCAAACCATCTGAACGAGCACCAACCACTTCATCGCTTCTTGCAGAGGCTTTCCTCAGAACTGGATTCCCGCCCGGTGTCTTCAATGTTCTCCACGGCGGCCCATCAACAGCAATTCAGCTAATCAACCAACCCTCTGTCCAAGCTATCAACTTTGTTGGCTCTGAAACCGCAGCTAAGCAAGTGCACGATACTGCCAGATCTCTCGGGAAACGCGTCCAGGCCGAATGTGGCGGGAAGAATCACGGCGTGGTCCTCGAAGACGCAAATATGATGCCAACCCTGTTTGCGATCGCGGGAAGTGCATTTGGCGCTGCAGGTCAGCGGTGCATGGCTTTGAGTGTCGCTGTTTTTGTGGGGAGCACTAGAGAATGGATTCCGAAATTGACCGAGTTGGCGAAGTCGATGGTTGTTGGTTGTGGAGGGGATCAGGAATCGAAGATCGGGCCGTTAATCGACCAGGCGGCCAAGAAGCGAGTAGATGCAATCATCCAGCGGGCAGTTGAGGAGAGGGCCACGGTTTTGCTGGACGGCCGAGATGTGCAAGTGCCGGATTATCCGGATGGCAATTTCATGGGTCCGACGATTCTCACTGGAGTGGAGACATATATGGAGTGCTATCAGATGGAGATATTTGGACCGGTGCTGATATGCATGGAGGTTGATACGCTGGATGAAGCTATTGAACTGATCAATCACAATAAATGTAAGTGTGCTTCCCTCGATGCGGTGAAATCCGTTGACTGAGAGAACAGATGGAAATGGATGCTCTATCTTCACGACGAGTGGAAAACATGCCAATACGTTCCAGCGAAGGGTCAATGTCGGCCAGATTGGGGTTAATATCCCGTTGATAGGTACGTGACTGACGAAAAATGGTTATGTTGCTTATAGTTCAATGTACTAAGTTGCTAGCGCCATATGGAACCGCCGTCCGCACAAGCAATAAGGACTCTTTCCTCGGTGGTAAGTAGTATCATCCCTGCAGCGACCACGCTAATGTAATATTAGATCGCCATGCTCCTGGTAAAGCATACTGGCCTTTTTTTACTGCAACGAAAACCGTGTCCTCAAGGTGGGATCAATAAAGTGGGTATCATTCTGTCAAGCATAGCGTGGCCGTGTGCTTTTTATTCCCTGTCGATATCCTTCAACCCCGTCCAGCCATTTGGGGATAGCTCTAATGGCAGCAAGATCCCAACAATCATAAATCCTCTTAGAACATGTTCCAGCCCAGGATGAACCTGTATAACCTGATCAGCTCACCGCATCTTTTCTCCACTTGTGCTTCCACAACCGTCCACCAACTAGAATTCCTACATATCGCCGCACCAACTGTCATGTTACACCCACGCCCTGCGTACCATTCAAATTGACCACCTACAAAATATCGAAGTCATGACGACAGTCTCGTATCCCGAACCTGGACCGACGTCACCCTGGCAGCTGACCTAAATGGAACAGGCAACCGGGGATCCCGGAGTGTGGGGGAGGTGTGCTATCCAGACAAACCCGGGGATAAAGTTCGGTACCGAGTCGCCATCCCCGGATTGATCCATGATCCAGACCGCGTGGTGGCACGTCGTACAATTCGACGCCACATGCGACAGTGTTTGCCCATCGATGGCATCATCGTCTTCGGGGGAAGCATTTAAGGCCGGACATGGTCTACTCTTGGGTGAGATTGGATTGGATGTTCTTTTTCATGCTGGTTAACCAGTCATCCCTGTAACTGACCGACTCGAAGAAATGAAGTTTTCAAGATCCAAAGGCCCCCGGATCAAGCCGGATGCTCATTTCCAGGATCAAATCCCCCCCGACCATGTCGCGCCTATCCCCGGCACTGAAAGGGAGGAGGTCGTCGATGGGCGCATTCCATTACTCACCTGGCGCTCCTTTCTCATGGGTATCTTTGTCTCCATGGGCGGTTTCTGCTTCGGCTATGATACCGGTCAAATCTCTGGATTTCTTGAGATGAAGAATTTCCTGCAGCGATATGGGCAGCTCGGATCGGATGGGACCTATTATTTTTCGAACGTGAGATCGGGACTGATAGTCGCTTTGGTATGACTACCTCCCTGATCTGCCTTCTTACAAGCTGATACTGACGGACGAAGCTCTCCATCGGCACCCTCATCGGAGCCCTCATCGCTGCCCCTATTGCCGATCGCATCGGTCGCAAATGGTCCATCACCGGCTGGTGCGGCATGCTCTGCATCGGCATCACCGTCCAGATTTCCAGCCCCTCGGGAAAATGGTATCAAGTCGCTATGGGCCGCTGGGTCGCCGGACTCGGGGTCGGCGCGCTCTCCCTGCTAGTACCTATGTACCAAGCTGAGTCGGGACCGCGACACATCCGAGGGTCCCTGGTCAGCACCTACCAGCTCTTCATCACGCTGGGCATCTTCGTCGCCAACTGCATCAACTTCGGCACCGAGGACCACAACAACACTGGCTCCTGGCGCATCCCCATGGGCGTCACCTACATCTGGGCCATCATCCTGGGCGTCGGCATGGCCTTCTTCCCCGAAAGCCCCCGCTACGACTACCGCCACGGCAAAGTCGACCGCGCCATCCGCACGCTCTCCAATATGTACGGGGTCCCTCGGAACCACCGCGCCCTACGTCTCGAATTCGAGGAGATCCGTCAAAAGTACGAGGAGGAAGTCCAGCGCGGCAAAGTCACCTGGATGCACCTCTTCCGGGCGCCTCGCATGGCCTACCGCGTCGCCGTCGGCGTCGCCCTACAAGCCCTCCAACAGCTCACCGGCGCCAACTACTTCTTCTACTACGGCACCACCATCTTCCGCGGCGCCGGCATCCAGAACTCCTACGTCACGCAGATGATCCTCGGCGGCGTTAACTTCGGGTGTACGTTTCTAGGCCTCTACTTGATCGAGAACTATGGTCGTCGTCGCTCGCTTATCGCCGGCGCCTTGTGGATGTTCGTCTGCTTCATGGTATTTGCCTCTGTCGGCCACTTCCTGCTCGACCGTGACAACCCCGAGTCGACGAAGACCCCCGGTGTGGTCATGGTCGTCTTCGCGTGTCTCTTCATCCTCGGCTTCGCGTCTACCTGGGGTCCCTTCATCTGGACCATCATCGCAGAACTATATCCGAGTGAGTATCGCGCGCGCGCAATGTCCCTAGCCACGGCGTCGAACTGGCTCTGGAACTTCCTACTGGCGTTCTTCACCCCTTTTATCACCAGTGCGATCGACTTCCGGCTCGGGTATGTCTTTGCTGGGTGTTTGTTCCTGGCGGCTGCGTTGGTTTATGTGGCTGTTATTGAGGGGAAGGGGCGTACGCTGGAGGAGATTGATACGATGTATGTGATGAAGGTGAAGCCGTGGAAGAGCTCGAAGTTTGTGTTTCCGGTTGATGAGTCGAGTGAGAGGGAGAGGGGTGGTAGTTCGTGGGAGAAGGAGTCTGAAGCTGTGGAGGGGAGGGCAGCTCATGTGTCAGACTTGAATGGGAGGGGAGGGCCCGGAGGGGAGTTTAGGGTGTAATGTAGGACTAGGTGTATATTATTGGTCTTTCTGTTGGCTTTGGGCTTGATGTATTATATGAGTTACTTTTTTGGATCGTGAATAGGCATTCATTTGTATCTTTACCATAGGGCTGCTCTAAATTCTATACATACAGAATACAATTGTCTGTCTGCTTGATTATGTGCGCTTCTTGCTAGGGTTAATATCCATGTGGTATTGTATAGATGCTGTCTAGAGCTATCTGGGAGCGGTTGACCTTGAACCTATGAAGCTCTGCGACAAGTGCCTACAATCATTCTGGAATACTGATCGAATTTCCCAAATTCCCAAGACGAATCTGGGTAGCACGCTGGAGGTGTGTATCCTGTGTAAAGCTCAGCCCTCAGAGATATGGGAGAGCGATTCACCTTCGACTAGGCCAAAGCGAATGGATGGAAAAGCCCAGAGTTGTACGCGTCGGCGCTGGTAATTCAGCAACAGTGATGCTGAGCGACACATATCGATTTCAGTTTGACTGTAGGACTGATAAGCATGGGGATCATGTGGCTCGGCAGGTCAGCTCACCTCTATCAGTTCTATGTCACGACCAACTCGTGCGTTGAGTAGCTGGTGAATTGTTACTTCCCACCGGTTGGTGGCGTTTATGTATTCAATCCTGGTTGCACCATCATGGTACCATTTCAATGTCCAATTTATCTTCCATCGACAGTGGGAGACTTTCATCCGTCGAGTAGTCCGGGTAGTCCGGATACCAAGAAGGTATATGCGGCGGAGCTTCATGGGTACTGCTTGGCGAGACACACATCATGACATCTGGCGAGACTGGCTGACTCGTCGTATTCAAAACCGTATCCCAATGAGGCCGGAATATATCTTCTCCCTGCATTGTTTCCAGCCACAGAATGCTCTTGATACGCACAAAAGCGTCATTCCAGTGGCGGATGGTTATCTGAGCAGCTAGTGTCCTTGCCCTGCTCGTGAACCATTGGTAGTGGGATGTACCAGTTGAAGCGACCATCCCGATTGCAAGAAACCATGTGTCTAGTGAGTCATTATGCCCACAATTCATCAGGTCGAGTTGCTTGAGATTATGCATGAATCGGGTAACGATCATGTTCAATATGACGGCATGCGAGTAGTATAATGGCCCCTGAATGGTGAACATATACAGCACAGTTGCGTAGCGAATACACTCGGTGATTGGTGAAGATGACTGGGACATTGTCGGATCCGGCACCGAGAGAAGGAGTCGGTGTACAACGAAGCATGTAAGGTCATGAAGTCGCGGGGAGGGCAACGGCGTTTGCTGCGCCCGCTGGAAGGCATTGCGAAGGCGGATGAAAACGTTACTAACGGCATACTCGACCTCAATGCTGCCGAGGTCGGATAAATCATAACAGGCAGTTGACTCCAGCTGCCATTCCGGGATGGTGGGTATGCCATTGCCAGTGCCGAAATCATCCTGCGTGTCGAACTGAGGGTTGCCTGTGACAATCATCGATACCCTTTGCGGATGTAAGCGCTCAACGCAATTCAAAGGATCCATGGACCCCACTTACCAGCTCACCATTCTGGCAGTCAGCGGACTGGTTTGCCGTACCGAGTTGATGCCACCTCTCATTTCAATCAGCCTTTTGACACCGTCGACATGCATCTCGCTAACTTTGATATTGCCTTTTCCGAACTGGGTGAGTGGGATCAGCACGATAGCTCGGTAGAACAGGGAATATGGGACCATTAGCGCGGGTTGATCTCACTTCGATAGCCGCCAAGGTAATGACAGAATTCATCGTGCCGTCTTGTACAGCGAGAGATGGATTTTGTACTTTGCGTCGGAGCAAAGCCACGGAGTCGGCGTTGAGAATCTCGGAGGCTTGAAAGCCCTTCTGCGCCAATAGCTCTTCATCAAGACATGCCGTCTGCAATGAGACGTGGAATAGCGCCGGATCGCCCAGAGCGAGGGGCCACCAAGAGATGAGAAATGGATTAGAGGTAGGGTTGAGATCCAGGGGATAGTATTGAAATGCGATCTTATGAACAACTGGAAGCAATTATGTAAGCCTCGCTCGATAACAAAGAACGACTACGGTTACCTACAGCTATGGATGAGACGTTGGACGCGCTCCCGGGGAAGTCTCGTCTGCGGATACGAATCAAAGGGATCCAGGGACCCAAATTGATAGGTAATGAGAGCGCCGAGGCCCTCGACAGGTCCTAAAGATCCGGGATTCCCCCGCCCGGGAGGTGCCGGCGGCGCCGTCAAGGGTTCGTTCGCATAGATGCACTTGACTTGACGCTTTTCGCAGCGAGAGCAACGCGGCGTGCGCAAGTCGCAACTATGTTTGGCTTTGGCACATGCGGCACAGGATCGACGGAGCGTTTGGCGCATCTCTGGGGGCACACAGCAGGAGGGACGAAGTCCTCTAAGGCGAAGTCGGTAAGAAGTGCAACAATCAAAGAAGGAAGAATGTTTGGTGGAGACCCCGGCTGACTGACAGCCTGAACCGTCAGGCGCGTAATCAGAGCCGCGCCAAGACTTCTGCCCTGTTACCTAAGCAGATCCACTTGTCTTCCATCCTTCTGGCCCGATCGATTTCTTTGCAATTTATCCGGGTCGATGCATGTCTCTAGGGGATATACCTACAGTGATCGCTGTCAACAGAGTGATATAGATAGCGATCGATCTTCCAGTTCAGTCAAGGGGCTTTCCGTTAAACTACTGTGGGAGAATTGGTGCATGATGCGTCACTACGGGCCAGTTGCTGATCCGGTGGAATCCCTCAGATTGAATTGGCTGACTGGACAAATGCTTATAGCTCCACAGGCACCGGAATGATTGCAAAGCCTCTCGTCTCATCTGCTCAGCGTGGGATGATAATTCATAAGAAAAGGGGCCGTCGATTCCTTTCGATGCCCGGTTATACTGCGGCCGCGTCGAATGGCGAGATCCGGCCAGACTCCACCGGCCCAAAGAGGACTAGTCCCCGATGCCTCCTCGATGCGGCATCCGTGCGTCGCATTCGGAGTCTAGTCCTAATCAGGCAGTCCCTATACAGGCATCCATCTTCTTTGGTTAGCGGATCGTTCCGGCCGTTTATGCGCTTCTCCTGGTTGATTTAAGCAGCTCGTCAATTACCTTTCCCTCCTCCTAACATGTTGCGCAACTCTACTTTCTGTTCGTCAGGACCTCAAGGACTTCACCATGGACGCTGAACTCGTCAATGCCACTTTCAGCTCACAGCAAGAGCTGCCACAGGCCGGCGCTTTCACCACTTCTCCGCTGAAAGACGCCGTGCCAGAGTTTCTTCTGGGTTGGTCAACCTGGCAGTATGTGGTGACATTTTTGCTGGGCGTGGTGGTTTACGATCAAGGTAATCGATTAGCATTGTGAAGTATACCGTCAATGCAGTTGGCTAATAGGCCTCTAGTCATGTACCTCAAGCGAAAGGGCTCAATCGCTGGACCGACGTTCAAGATCCCGCTCATGGGCCCATTTATCCAAGCCCTTCATCCAAAATTCGAGGCATATCTGGCACAGTGGGCGAGCGGGCCTCTCAGCTGTGTGTCGGTCTTCCACAAGTATGTGTCTCGTCCATTGGTTATCCGACTGAAGGAGATCGAAGGGTCTTTTACTTACGCGCCAGCATTGTAGGTTTGTCGTCCTCGCCTCCGACCGTGATATTGCCCACAAGGTCTTCAAATCACCCGCTTATGCCGAACCCTGCATTGTGCCTATCGCCAAAGACCTCCTTGGCCACAAATCATGGGTTTTCCTCCAGGGTAAAGCCCATGCCGAGTACCGAAGAGGATTGACGCCTCTGTTTACCAACAAGGCCATCTCCACCTACCTTCCAGTGCAAGAAAAGGTGCTGGGAGATTATTTCAACAAGTTCGTTGCTGCCAGCGAGGCGAACCAGGGACGGCCAATGGCGTTCATGACCATGTTCCGCGAGATCAATTGTGCGCTTTCTTGCCGTACCTTCTTCGGCGATTATATCTCGCAAAGCGCTGTCAAGAAGATTGCCGACGACTTCTACCTTGCCACCGCCGCGATGGAGTTGGTCAACGTCCCTCTGTCAATGTATATTCCGTTCACCAAGACCTGGTTGGGCAAGCGGACGGCTGACGCTGTTCATGTCGAGTTTGCCAAATGTGCCGCTGCTTGCAAAGTCAACATGGCAAAGAGTGCTACACCTACGTGCGTCGTGGATCACTGGGTGCTTCACATGATGGAGTCAGAACGCTATCGTGAAAGAACGGCAGCGGGTGAGACGGGATTGGAGAAGCCTACGAACATGATCCGGGAGTTCACCAACGAAGAAATCTCTGAGACTCTGTTCACCTTCCTGTTCGCTTCCCAAGATGCCTCCAGCAGTGCCACTACGTGGTTGTTCCAGATCCTCGCTCAACGGCCCGATGTGCTCAACCGACTGCGAGAGGAGAATCTGGCTGCGCGGGGTGGTGACAAGAACAAACCCTTCGATCTTCCCATGCTGGAGTCGCTCACCTACACGGCCGCCGTCATCAAAGAGCTCCTTCGCCACAGACCTCCCGTTATCTTCGTTCCCTATCTGGCAACGAAGAACTTCCCTGTCACGCCTGACTATACCGTTCCCAAGGGCTCTATGATCATCCCGTCCTGCTACCCCGCTCTCCACGATCCGGAAGCCTATCCCGATCCGAATGTTTTCAACCCTGATCGCTGGATCACCGGTGACGCCGAGTCCAAGACCAAGAACTGGCTCGTTTTTGGTGCGGGTCCGCATGACTGCCTTGCCAGAAGATACGTGCCGCTCTCCATGGCCGGTATGATTGGCAAGGCGGCGTTGGAACTTGATTGGGAGCATCACCCCACGCCCCTCTCAGAGGAGATTCGGGTGTTTGCTACCCTATTTCCAATGGTCAGTATATATCTTCTCCATTCCCCTGCTGCCCGGCATGTGCTGATATATAATTCAGGATGGCTGCAATTTGGTTTTCAAGAAACGATCATAGATGTGCGAATTTGCGTGCTTGGGCTAGACTGGCGGAGTAGGGGCCAAGCGATCCTGTAGAATACCAGCATGATATCATGCATAATGTTAATACTTATTTTGATACCAGGCGTTTCCGACAATCCATCTCGCAAGTCAAGTCAGGATATATACTTAACTTCGTGATCCTGTAGCCCGCACGATCTATTTCGTCTGCGTCCTTTTTAGTAGTCAGTCAGTGCACGTGAGGTCACCTGTTCCTCCTAACCCTTGCTGCAGTTGTTTGTAAATATTGCGATATTCATAATCGTTATAGCTTCATAAATTAACATTAGCAGCAACCATACCCTTTTAGCATGTCTGTAGAGTGACTGCTGTGCTGGGAGTGTGCCCGGCCCTAAGGCCTGCTGTCCTATCTACCTAACCTAGTCTTATTCACACCTTCCAACGCCAACAAATAGGATCCAAAGCGAGAAGAGAAAGACAACCCAGAAAACAAAATGAGTGTACAACTGGCTAGTTAAGAAAGACAAACAAGTGGACAACAGCTTCCTGGCATTCTTGCGTGATAACAGGTAAGAGACATATTTGAGTCAGTGGCCAATCAAGTGCCCCATTAGCTAGGAAAATCATGTACTATCAGTCTTCTATCTTAATACACGTTATTTGACCCTATCCCTGGTAACTCGTCATTGAATAGCAGGCGTGTGTACTTTCTCTAAAGTGCCTGGATTTCTCTAGTAGTCAGGAAGTTCGCCACTCTCTAGCTTCACATATCTTTCAGTTGGTCTAAAACACTCGCCATATCCCGCCCGGTAGAGTGTGCGAGATTAGCAAAATGTTCTTTAAACCAGGATTAGATATCGGCCTTGTGAGAAACAAAAAATATGATCCCAAACTTACCGTCGGGACTCGGGAGTACCATCGAGAGTAATTTCATGCATCTTCCCACTCAAAAACAATGTAGCGGGGCTAGCCTCTGACGTTGTTTGGGGCAGGATGCCTCTTGGGACATAGAGGCGAGGGTAGCCAGACAAATCTAATGTTCAAAATATCAGAACTAACTAACGTAAACCACAAGCGAGTCGCGAATCTGAGCGAGCCGCGAATTTGTATTCCCATACAAAATGGCGCTTTTGAACTCGGGATATCTCAGCCATTTCTATGTCGTATAAGATACTATTTAAAACTAGAATTATATGACACTATTTAACGATAATGTACTAAATTTTAATCTATTTATTAGGCTAATTGTCCAGGTATTATAAATTACACTGTATTATAAAGCTGGTTATGTATTAAAGACTCCCATAGGTTTCTTTATTATATAAAAAAGATATTATACTACTTACCTATATAATACTTCAGGTCTTTAATATATTTTTTTAGAATAGAGGTATGGTGGAGATACTCCAAGTTGAAAAGTGCCAAATTGTATGGGAATACAAATTCGCGGCTCGCTCAGATTCGCGACTCGCTTGTGGTTTACGTTAGTTATTCTTTATGGTATTACATAATGGATTCAACTTAACGTAATCCACAAGCGAGCTGCGAATCTAAGCGAGCTGCGAATTTTCAATCAAAACTCCACCCTCTTTATTCAACGCGTCATATCTTCAACACCAAATACAACATGCCTCCTTCTAAAGAATCACGTATTCAAATGGCTGTTTCAGCTTATCGAAAGGGCCAAATTAAATCGGTATTACGCGCTGCGCAGGTTTTTGCGATCTCTGAAAGTACCCTACGCAATCGACTCAACGGTGCAACACCACGATCAGAAACACGCGCCAATAATCATAAACTTACTCAGTTTGAAGAAGAAACGATTCTTAAGCAATTATTAGATGCAGATATGCGAGGATTTCCAATGCGGCCCGAATTCTTACGCGAAATAGCAGGAATCCTACTTCGCGCGCGTCTTCGAAATCCTACAGCAAATGTTGGTTCTAACTGGCCATATAATTTCACCAAACGTCATCCTCAACTACGTACACGATATAATAGACGAATTACATATCAACGTGCAAAACAAGAAGATCCAAAGGTTATAATACCATGGTTTCAACTGGTCCACAAGACTATCCAAGAACACGGCATACACGAGAACGATATCTGGAATTTTGATGAAACTGGCTTTGCAATGGGGCTCTGCTCAACTGCTAAAGTAATTACCGCAGTGGAGCGTAGTGAGCGACCACGCAGGGTTATTCAGAGTAATTGTGAATGGATTACAATCATCGAAACAGTCAGCTCAAACGGCGTACATATACCACCCATTCTTATACTGAAAGGGACCCAACAACAAGCTGCTTGGTTCCAAGAACCTAAGCTTGCTGGAGACTGGTGGATTGCAACAAGTCAAAATGGCTGGACTACCGATGAAATAGGTCTTCTTTGGCTAAAAAATGTCTTTGAACCCTCTTCCAGGCGTTATATGACTGGTGCAAAACGCCTACTCATTCTGGATGGCCATAGTAGTCATTTGACTGCTAAATTCGACGATTTTTGCAAACAAAATGCAATAATATGTCTTTGCATGCCTGCCCACGCTTCACACCTTCTTCAACCGCTTGATGTGGGTGTTTTTGGCCCGCTTAAACGCGCATATGGAAAGCTGCTTGAGGGACGTATGATTGCGGGTAATAACCATATTGATAAAGAAGACTTTTTATCACTTTATCCAGACGCCCGGGCTCAAGTCTTTACTCCTACGAATATCTGCAGTGGCTTTGCAGGAGCAGGACTTAAACCACTTGATCAAGAACGAGTTCTTTCGAAGCTTACCTTTCGACTACATACACCTACACCTGCACCGTCACTAGTTGAAGGATCAATTTCCTCTGCTTTCCAGACTCCACAGAATACTCGCCAGCTAGATCGAGAGATACGCAGCTTACAGAACAGCCTTAGTGCTAAACGAAAGCTTTCTAGTAGCCCAATTGCTCATATTCAACATCTTGAAAAGGCTGCTCAAATGGCGATGCAAACCAACCTTCTTTTACAGCAAGAAATCAAGTCTCTACGAGCCGAAAACGAGCGAAAATACAAAAAGAAAGCAAGAAGACGTGCTCTACTAGGAGAGAATACTCTTTTATCTGTACAAGAAGGCCAAAATCGCGTTCAGCAGCTGGATATGCAGTTTAATGAGCAGTCTGAGGAACCTACTCCGGTGCCTCGTCGACGAGCTCCTGCCCGCTGTAGTGGCTGTGGAATAGTAGGACATACTATACGAAATTGTCCTAGTAAATAGCTACTTTTTCATATATTTATTTAGTCAAATCTAATGGAGTTAGTGGTTAAATAGCTTCAAGTAGTGGTTGCATTGATTGAAAATTCGCAGCTCGCTTAGATTCGCAGCTCGCTTGTGGATTACGTTACCAAACCCAAAGAATCCAGGTTTATGGAAAAACATAAGTTTGCACTTGTCATCAATACTAGCCGCAGACGAGCCGGGACTTGCAGCACTGAGAGCCCTTCCAACTTCTGGATAAATCAAGACATAGGCTTCACCTGGGTCTCCGATGATGATAGGGATCTTTCTTGTGATCAACTTCCCTCGAGCATCGTAGTTAGAGAAATCTGTAGTGATGCGATGAAAGTGCCGAGTAACAGAAATTTGGCAACAATAGTTGGGCGAGCGCCGGAACACGAAACGATTCATGAATCCTTGTTGATCTGAGTAGTGAGTATGTTTTATTGTTCTAGATGACAATAAAAAGTAATTGTGCTGTATCTTGATACACATGAAGGTCGCAGTTACAAGCTAGAGAGTGATGACAAGTGCGCTTAGGCCCGTATCGGAACGGATATATACACCGGAGTTAAGATGGTGATGGCTCAAGTAATTCATGCTGGAATATCTCTTTTCCTGGGAATTGGCAGTTATGGATCAAGACTTTTCAAGGTAGCTATTTCAACTGAGCTATTTCAAACAGCCATTAGAGTTGATTGTATTGATTTTCTAGTTGCTGCTGCTCTTCGCACCTTCGTTCCATTCTCAGTACTCAAGCCCAGAGAAAGAAGGAAGGGCTGAAAAACCATCATACCCTAGCCATGGCCATTTCAGATACCACACTCTCGCTCACTCATCATGGTTGTACATAACTAAGCCAATTTCACCGCTCAAGCGCTCACAATATGTTAGAAAAACAACCTAGCTTGTACCCTACTAAAGACATGGAAACTCCGAACCCCGACAAGAAAAATATTAGGTTGGTCGTGTCGCAACAAATGTGATACTGGAAAACAATCATGGACCTGCGCTGATTGCCTAAAGTTTGGAGGAGTAGGGAACGATGTCTGCGCGTATCTCCTACTCCACACATCGAGACTCGTCAGCCCCCGCTTCCCTCGGGAGTTTCAATACATCCACTAATCTGTCATGCTGTAATAATGGCGAGTTGTGCTTACACCGTAGCGCGAAGGCTGTGCTCGGGAGAGACTTTCCAAATACTTACACCGGTGTACGGCTCAGTGGCTAATCCTATGATTGGTAATGGCAGGATGAGACATGACGACAGGTTTTGATTGATTTGGTCAGCATCATCCCGAAGCTAGAGGAACACGACTTTGACTTGGCGACATATGCAATACCCACTTCCCGACCCACTGATCTCTCACGCTGACATGCATTTGAACGTCCTTCTTCGGATTTAATACCGTGACCGGATCGTTGAAATCTAATGCCGGATCCTTCTCCCAAGCGCCACTCACAGGCCGTAGATCGGCTCGCATCGCCAGGAGAGCTACCAGAATCAAGATCTCTGTTGCAGCAAATTGCCTAGCAGGACACAAATGTGGCGGCGCACCCCATGCCAGAAAGTCACTGCCGGCATGCTTTTCTGCATTCATGAATCGAGACGGGTCGAATTCTCGCGCCGACGGGCCCCAGATAGTCTCGTTTGAATGGATCGAATGCCCTGGCATCTGAAGATAGTTTCCTTTCTTGAGGAGATATTTGCCATCGAGTAGGGTATCTTTCATCACTCTGCGAATGGCGGCGTGGATGTGTCGAATGCGCTGGGTTTCTTGGAAGACCGAAAGGAGAAGTGGACACTTGGACTTCAGAGCACCGACGTCCAGCGCATATCCATCGTCCTGTTTGATGATAGCTTGGGCTTCTAGTTCATGACGAACGTCGCGAAGCAGCTCGTCCCGCGAGAACAGTTCCCAGATGGTCCAGTAGAATGTCGGCACGGTGTTGCTCAACATTCCAATCGGCAGGGTGGCTTGTTGCTTGATGCAGTCGGCCTCTGAAATACCGGCTTCTTGTAGGACGCGCCAGCGCTCTTTGAAAAGGAACGATGCGTCTGCAGGGACATTCTTGCAGTATTTTACATGTGCGTCGAAGACCTTTTGACGAGCGGCATACCCCTTTCCGAGAATATCGAAATTCAGCCCCGAAATGTGTGCAGAGAGATGAGCGTGCCACATCCTATGATTCAGAGCCGGCATTGTTAGCAAAGCTCTGCCTGTACAGTCCAAGGCATTGGCAGAGGGGAAGTTTACCAAAATGCTTTTTCGACTTCAATGTCAACAAAAGGGTGCTCTGTTCCGTACACCCCACAGCTCGATGCCTGGGAAATAGCATGTCGCGCCCATTCCAGGAGCTTGATCTGATGTATTCCCGCATCTTCCACCTTCAACGGCTCAAGCAAGGCGTCGATATCTACCAGCGCCCTTTTCCCCATTCTTTCATTTTGTTCATCAAGATGTGGACCCGGAGCCAAACTCAGTTTCATGGCGTGGCTGAAATTAGTGACCAAATGCGGACCGCCAAAGATCTCTTTCGTCTCGTCGCTTGCGTCTCCCCATCGCCGTGCCACATGTTGGATGAGCGGTCGGAAAGAGAGCGTCTTCGATTGCCGTTGAATGGCTGGTAACAGTCGTGTTGAGACGCTTGTGTAGAGCTTGAAATTCAATATGCCCAAGGTGAATATTTCCTGGTCGGTGGCAGTCCTTTGAGTGAATGGTTAGCAACGGTAAGACGACTTTTCTGTCGACGATATCTGTCACAGCATGCGCTGGCTCATACCTCAACTGGCTATGGTATGACGGGCCACTGTTTATCAGTCCAAGTATATGTCCGATCAGCGGCACCTTAGGTCGGAGTCGTACGGGCTCTCGAGAATCATCTCTAATGCTAAACAGGTATTCGGCCGCATAGGCAAACAACACCACGCCTAGCACTCCGTAGGCGAATACCTGGATCATTCTGCTGGTGAACCACGGGCAAAAAGAAAAATGGCCGAGCCTTTCATCATATCCGGGAAGTCAATAGACACATCAACCATACATGTATAAACGGCCAAGTCATTGTTAGCAAGTCATGGTAAGACCTAGCAACGAATTACCAGCTGTATACGTACTAGGTTCTAGACTAGCACGCGGCACATGGGAATTGAACTCCGAACCCGAGCTGGGAAATTCTCCCGACGAGAAAAGCCAGCCTCAATTCCCGATAGATCCGAGTCCCGCCTTCTTGGTCCAGGTAAGACGAAGGATGAGCTACATCGGAGTAGCGTGGCTTCCATGCACTCCAATCTGACAGGATGTTGACCAACCGTTATCGAGGAGAGAAATATGAATCCTGCAGTCATCCATGTTGTCAGCACTAGAGACTGTCCAATCAATCTCGGCCAAGCACAACCTACATCTCCGTGTCGAAGCTGCTCCGACGTGTGTCCAGTCATCGTTGCGCACAGACCTGCTAGCCTGATGCCGTGGCCAGGGTTGAAGAGGTAAATTCAACTGACCCGGCTTTGTGTATACGGGTTGAAGCAGACCAACGTTACACTGCACTTTTATACTCGTGGTATTGTCCACATGACCCACTCGAGTATGACATGTATATGTTTGAAGGTTATCTGATACTTTCTAACTTCCTATGGTGAGGGCTAGATGTCTTCTATAGGCTGAGGCGGCAGCCGACCCGGGAAGCGAAAGTTACTTACCTGCTTTTCTATCTAAAATGTGGTAAGTCTTACCGCACTTGCTGCAAGCCTGCTGCCTACTCCAACTTTGCTGATACACGTCTCAAAAGTCTGAGTTATCTCTAGTCTATCAATGGCCGAAAATACCGCAGTGGGGTGTTGAAAGTCTCGCACCCCGCGCGATCCTTCGTGGATAATCCTGTAGACAGACACGTAATGGGCACTGGGCTGAAGCTCGTAAGCCCTACTTCTCTCAAGCATACCTACCTTTGCTAAGATGGAGCCATTAATCGTTAGCATGTGGGCTTCGGAGACAGAGGGATGAGCCGCTTGCCATGTTCTTGACGGACTCCGAAGCACGTAAGACCGATGAAACATAGACACTTGACCCATGTGAGCGTCGCGTCCGAGATAAGAGCCTGATGGACATATTTGGGTATAAAGCTGTCAGCCGCCTCGAGGGTAGATCCGAGTCAAGATCGTGTTGACACATCTGAGCAGTGTCTGCAAGATCGTGATATTGAGCAGCCATGGCTCTCGTCAACCTCACCACGAGCGCTTTTAGCCTCCTCAATCAAACAGAGACCCTGGGGACTGATGCTCCCGGGTTCCAGCCCCAGTTCTCAGCACCGGCTTCCACTCTGACTGCTTTTGCGGGTATTGCGGTTATCTGGTGGTATTTGATCACCGTACAGAGGAAGAAACACCCCAACATCTATGGAAATTATGACTTCGACGCCCCAATCATTGGGTACAAATACAATATTCCCGCACGACTGCAGTTTTTCCTCAATGGTCCTGCCATGATCAAGGAAGGGTACGAGAAGTACAAGGACACTTTCTTCAAGGTCTCCGGCAATGACCTTCTCATTGTCCCTAACAAATATCTTGCCGAGCTGGCAAGCATGCCGCCCGAGAAGCTGAGCCTCAACACGGCTATTGTGGATGCGTTCCAGCGCCTCCACTCCATCACTGCCGTCATCACCGATCACAGCCTGCAATCACGCATGCTAATGACCCGGTTGACACCTAAGCTCGGCGTGCATGTGCCTCTTGTTCAGGACCAGTTCCGCAAATACTTGCCCTCCGAGCTACCAGCGACCGAGAAGGAATGGACTAGCATGAACGCCTTGCACCTAGCACGACGTATGGTCCACCGCGGTGTGGCTACGCAGTTCGTCACCGAGCTTGCCGAAGACGAGGAGTACCTCTCCACTGCCATTGCGTACTCTGAATACGGTTTCAGGCACAACTTCATGCTCCGGGTATTCCCCGACTGGGCCAAGCCTGTTGTTGCGCAGTTCCTCCCTACGAGCTGGGGGGTGGATCGGGCTCTCAAGAAGGCCAAGCGCATGGTCATCCCCATTATCCACGAGCGCCGGCGCCGGGAGCGTGAGGATCCCACGTATGAGAAGCCCGAGGACTTCCTTCAGAATCTTCTAGACGGAGGAAAGGAAATCGAAGACGACGACGAGACAACCGTGCAGCGGTTGATGGTTACTTATCTGGGATCCGGTCCGTCGACCATCATTGCCGTGGCACAGGTTCTATTCGACCTTTGCGCTCATCCGGAATACGTGGAGCCGTTGAGGCAGGAGGCGTTGGAGATCCTTGCCCAGGAAGGTGGATATACGAAAAAAGCTTTGGCCGATATGAAGCAAATGGATAGTTTTATGCGGGAGTCGCAGAGGTTGAGTCCTCCTACCTTACGTGAGTGCAACCCTTCCTTCAAATTGTCCTTGTTATTGTCATCTGAATGAAGCTTACTTATTGTTTAGTCGGATTCAACGCTATCGTCCGCCAACCGGTGACACTACATGACGGCGTCGTCCTCCCCGAGGGCGCCCATATCCAAATGGCAACTTACGCTATCGGTATTGACCCGGAACGAGTCCCAGATGCAGACAGGTTTGACGGTCTGCGTCAATTTAACAACAGAAAACGTCCCGGGGAGAGTAACTGGCATCGTATGTCCCCAGCTCTCTCATCCTCAAACCCTCTGAACCAGGAGACCCACTAACTGCGAGCAATCTAGAATTCACAACCACCAGCGAGAACAACCTACACTTCGGCCACGGCAAGATCGTATGTCCGGGGCGCTTCTTTGCTGATCATTCGATGAAGATGATCGTTAGCAATATCTTGCTGAGGTATCATCTTCGCTTTGTGGGAGGGTCGACGCAACGGCCGTCGAACTCAAGTATGTATGATGTTGTTATTCCAGATTTGAGTACGTGTGTGGAGTTTAAGGTGAGGGAGGATGCGCGTGCTTTCTAGGCTATCTGTCTCTACATGATAATTCTTTTGTGATTCTCACTCCAATAAAATACTTGATAGCATTGCATAAAGGTGATGAATAAACTAGACGGAATGATTATACAACGAGGACGCGAAATGTTCCAAATTCACTACCTTTTTCTTTTCTTCATTATCGCTTTGGCTTTAGTTTGAAAAATACTGCCTTTTGGAAGGCTCCAGTCGTCAGCCTGTGCTTTTCATTTACTGTCCTGACTTTCAATCTTCATTCACCTTGACTATCAACCTATAGGCACTTGTCATTAATGGCTTGCTTCTCGCAGTAGTCACGGTACAGCAACCACCATCCCCTACAATTCCTCCCTCGACTTCGCTTTGATCTACTCTCTCCCATCTACATCCACTTCTTCCCTCTACACACGTTCTTACCGAACTCCAGCAAAATGATCAAAATTCCCAAATCCACCGCAAGCCGCAAACCCATCCCACTCCCCCTTGCTCGACGTCCTGGAAGAGCAAGCATCTTTCCTAAAATAAAACGCCTCCCTCATCGTCGTGGTACGTATCCCCAAATACCTGCGTGAAGCCAGTACATAATTGCTACATATCTTGATTGATTGCTCTTCTCACTAACCACAGCACTGCAGTTCGGTTTCCTAAAATTCAACGGCGATTCAAGACCAGCGCATTCGACCAAAAGCGGAGCAAGATAACCAACTTCTCAAAGACGACGTGCCCTTCTATGTAGGTGATTGTACAGGGCATGTAGTCAAAGCACCTTCAGGGTATGTCTCCATCCTCCTAACTCTGCCTCTGGTTTGGGGATATACGGGGTTGGAGCTAATATGATATGTGCCGTAGTTTTGCAGAGCACGAGAAGAACAGCATTGTGGCTGATGCAGATAGTTACTTAGCTCAATCTCTATCAAGTTACTGTAATGCAGAATGAGTTAGGATTTGGGCTTGAGAGGGAATGGAAAGATAAGTTCGAGGGTTTTTCTAACGGGTCAAGGTGTCTTGGGGTTTCTTCTTAGTTAACAGGGAGATTGACGAAGCAGGGACTTTTCTTAACATGGTATGATCTTCTTTTTCATTGTTACATTCTATCGTTATTTGCTCGATAAATTCTTTCGATGAACAGCAGTCATGAGTGTTGGTCCAACGGAGTCTTCCTGTCAGCTACGGGTGGTAAATTGGATCCTGATGTGTGGCCATCACGTCTTTCTTAGCTGCACGAATTCAAGACATGCCTTTGGTGTTGGTTTCTGTAGAGTTAACGAGGACGGAGGAACTGTATCATATGAAAGGGGGAGAAAGGTTTGCTGACTGAGAAAAACCTTCACTTTGTATCATTCATCATACGGCCATGCCTTTTCCCATGCAACTTTGTCCTGCTCAGAACTGGCGAGAGGAGCAACTATCTCAGCCTTAGCTTGGCTCATAAGCATTTTCACTTGGTCATATTGGCCAGGCGAGACAACCCCCTTCTCAGGCCATAAATTACCCAACGACTGTTTCACGCTCCGCATTAGTTCCATAGCCCTAATTGTGCCAACGACATCCTCTTCAATCGAGTTAGCCTCGTCAGCGGAAAATCTGATCGGTATCGGCGGGTTTCCTGCGGCCTGGACACCTGGCAAACATTGCCACTCTTCTTCTAATTCGAGCATCCTAGATTGATACAGCGCCTCTCCGTCGACCAAGATATTGTGAGCAAACAACATCATCTCAAAACTGGAGGTCTGTCGACATCCCATGGCTCTAAATAGTCTCTCGTTGTTGGCACATGTGAACCGTCGATATAACGCGCTGAGTGACATGTTCATATACAGGCTCTGGGCTTCTGCTTGCTCTGCGGGATCGAGTTGATCAAAGTTTTCGGGGAATGGCGGCGGATCCAATCCTTCGACAACTGGACCATCATAGTCGAGGAAATATGGCTGACGGGCTTGTTCAAAGAGTGGTAGCAGTTCACTCGACTGCCAGTCAATAATACCTAGTACTTCCCATGGCTTTTCGGGGTTTACAGATATATTCTCGCCGTGGAGGTCGGGGTGCCACAATACAGCACATGAGATTGAATGGTCCAAAGGAGAAAGAAACTTCACCAGACGTAGATAATTCTGAAGAGCGGCAGCCTTTTTCGCACGGGAAGGGTTATATGGCCGGGACCGTATAGGGCCAAAGGCGACCGGGGTAGTTGGGCCATATTCTGTACGCAACTGATCTCACGATGTCCGACTGCTAGTTTGTATTGCTCAACACTGTCCCCTGGAACGGACATAAGTAAGTCATCCCAATAGGCTTTCATGAGGCTTCCTACATGGGCCTCGGTCAAATTCTAGTGCGATCCGCCCATCGTCAAGAAATTCTCTACCTGTTGAATGGCCGACAGCAAAGAAATGCTCCTTGATTTGGGATCCATCCTCTTTCGTGAGAATGCATCCATCGGCATTAGGCAAATCGGATGAATAGTATAGACTCCCATATTCGGCAAATGCTGTTGACATCCAAGCTCTTTGGTATCTTGAGATTGATTTCACGACTCCAAATCTCTGCTTGATGTCTAAGCTTGCCCATATTTTATCCAGTGGGACACCTGCAACCTTCTCCATTATGATGTATTCCGCGCCAAAGGGGTTCTCTGTTGCCTTGGAACTCCAAGCTAGCACTCTAGGCACGGGGGTACCTAGGCAATTTCTAGCCTAAGGGACTACATTAGGATACAAAGAGGCGATAGGGGTTTTAAACGACTTACAAAGTCCATTGTGGCCACTTCACTAGCGGTGGTATTGTGAGCCCGCCCAGCGTTGGGATTTGGTACTTTACCAACTACCTGCGTGCCATCTTGCATTGTGAACAGAAAGGTCTTATTGAACATTCCATCGGGAAATTTCTCAACACGGGCGCATTGCGTGAGCGTACAGCCGACCGACTCAGCAGCACGCTTTGCAGTTCATTCATATTGAAGCTGACATGACGAATGGCCATCTCGTGAGCTTCATTAGCAAGAAAGCGGCCTCTTGTATAGCGAAAAAAGTCGGGGTTCGTGTGCCAATCTGTATGGAGTGTCTGATCCACCTTCATCCTTGATTTGCCGTCAGAAGGCGATATATGGATCCTTTTTTGCTTGGCTAAACCCGAAGCACATCTTCGAATCATGGTATGAACGTCTGTTGAGACCTTTAAACATACGATAGCAATGAAGAAACCAGCAAGACATTGGTGGAAGTTAGGATACTGTAACATGAAAAAAGATATATAATTGTTGTTTGGGGCTTCCAAGCTGGACTCAGCGACGCAATCGTATTTGCAGGCCCGTATCGTAAGCTAGACGGGATGTATGGAAGAATCCTTCCAAGCAAGACGTCTCGGATGTTGGTTATCGCAAGCCTTACTCTTTTCGGTTGGCAGATCTCCACCAGCCGCGAAAATCATATTGTCAGAGCAGGTGAGGCAGGACGGGATCGGAGGAGAGCCCGTCGAGGTCACCTGAATCAGCCGGCAGGACGGCCTCCGGATTCCGAGGCGGCCGTCCAGGTCCGGGGGCCAAAAGTCACGTGTAGGCAGACACCCGGGCCCGAGTGGAGACATCCGAGCGATGCCGTCATCGGCCAGGGATCTGCCGGTCAGCATCCATTCAGCTATTTAACATGTAAAGAGCCTCGTTCGGTTTTGCCTGGCATCAATCACAGTTTCCTCTTCTTTCAAACAGAAATAGGCTGATTTAGCTTTACACATATTTTACACCACAGCTCGATCCCACAATGGCGAAACTTGACCAAGTCCGCGCCTCCAATGCCGCTATCAACTCTCAGAGACCCGAGCTGGTGGCTGTCTTTGTAGGCGCGACCAGCGGCATCGGTGAAGGGACAGCCAAGGAGCTCGCCAACACGGTCAAGAAACCCACTATTCATCTCATCGGACGTAACGAAGCCACCGGATCCAAAATTTTGGATGAATTGAAGGCCGCGAATCCCGAGGGTTCTTTCCATTTCATCAAATCCGACGTGTCGTTACTCAAGAACGTTGACAAGGCTTGCGCCGAGATCAAGGAGAAGGAGGAGTCAATTGACCTGTTGTTCATGAGTACGGGCTATATGGGCTTTTCTAAGAATGGTACATCCTTCTTCCATTTCCACCCTTAGGTACCTCGCCGTGCTAACGAAAATCAACCTTAAAGATACATCCGAAGGCCTCGAAAACAACCACGCTCTCCGCTTCTACTCGCGTATGCGCTTCATCTATAACCTGCTTCCTCTCCTCCGCGCCTCGAAGGGTCCCGCCCGCGTGATCTCCGTCCTCGGCGGCGGGCAAGAAGGCACCATTTCGGAAGACAACCTCGATTTGCAAAAGAAATGGACGTTCCTGAATTCTCTCACCTACGCGTCGACTATGAACTCGCTAGCTGTCGAGCACCTTGCTGCCCAGAACCCCTCCATTAGCTTCATCCACATGTTTCCCGGTGTCGTGCGCACGCCGCTGATGAGCAGCACATTTGGGAACCTGGCTGGCTCGATTATGGGGTTCTTGTCGGCGCCGATCTCGATGACGCCTCAGGAGAGTGGGCAGCGAAATCTCTATATGGCGACGTCGGCCGCATATCCGGCAGCGAAGACGGAGGGTCAGACGAGCACTGGTGTGCCTCTTGTCGGTGGAGTGGGTGTGTCCAAGGGGTCGACAGGCAGCGTTGGCGGAGGCTCGTACATTTTGAACTATGATGGCAGCGATGCTACGAATCGGAAGGTCATGGACGGGTATCGCGAGAAGCAGTTCCCGGCGAAGATTTGGGAACATACGTTGGCGACGTTCGCGAAGGCGTTGGATCCGGCTCATTAAATTTTCCTATGTTTCTTTCGAGGTGCTCGCAAGTATATCCTTATCTAATCACCAAAATATAACTAACTAGAAATACTAATTATATTGAAATGACGTCATGTTGGGCTACTCAATTTCGATATGTGTACCTGGATTTTCAGGCACCAGAGTCTTCGCCCCTGCATTTTTATGTCTTTCATTTAGTGCTTGGATTTGTGCCATTATTGAGTCTCTAGGGGAGCATAGGGTAGAGCTAGTCCCTATTCTGCATGTCGATGGGTGGGACTCTTATCTTTCAACCCCGCATTTGTCCCGGTGATCACGGGATACAACGTGACTGATAGACGAGATCAAATAACTAGTGTGGGGGGGTAAAGATGGTGCGGGGGCTTGACTTGACTCCCCGATACCACGACCCCATATCTGCATGCAACGGTATGAAGGGACATTGTTGATCCTTGATGTTACCCCTTGATTCGGTTCCATAAATAGCCAACAGAGCCCCTGGTTCAGGGATCCGACTCACATACGCAGAGCACACCACGAATCTGATACATTATTTCCTCAATCTACACTGTATAACCAGATCCCAGCCTCCGACATCGCAGCACCGACCAACATGTATTCCCCTACAGTCGGTACCCGGGTCGAGGACCTCGATACGCCATCCATGATCGTGGATCTAGACCTCGCCGAAGCCAACCTCAAGAAGCTCATGGACCAGCTTCTTCCCACCGGACTGAACATTCGCCCTCATCTGAAAACAAGCAAGAGCGCCATCGTGGCCAAGAAGATGGTCCAGGCGGGCGCAAAAGGAGGCTGCGTCGCGAAAGTGAGCGAAGCTGAAGCCATTGCCGCGGCCGGGTTTGATGATCTCCTGATTACCTGCGAGATAGTCGGTGCGGCGAAAGTGAAGAGGCTGGTGGAGTTGTTTCGCAAGCACCGATCCATCCGCATCGTTGTGGATAGTGAAGTCGGTGCGACCGCTATCAACGACGCCTTGGCCAGCTCGGGCATCGACGATCCCATCACTGTTCTAATCGATCTAGACGTAGGGCTACACCGAACGGGCGTGAAGCCTGGAGACGCAGCTCTGGCCCTGGCGCGACATGTGAGCGGTCTGAAGCATTTGAAGCTGATCGGTGTGCAAGGTTATGAGGGCCATCTGCAGCATCTGCACGATAAGGAAGATCGGAAAACGCAATGTCTCGAATCGATGGCTATTTTGACCGGCACTGCGGATGTGCTGCGCAACGCAGGCCATCACATCGAAGTCGTCACTACCGGTGGAACAGGCACGGCTGAGTTCTGCGCCACCGTACCGGGCGTGACGGAGTTACAGCCAGGGTCGTTCATCTTCATGGATACGGATTACCGAAACGCCGTGGGAAGCTTTTACTCGAACAGTCTGACCATTCTCTCAACCGTTGTCAGCAAGCAGGGACCACGGGCTGTGACAATTGATACCGGGCTGAAGTCGTTGACAACAGATAGCGGGCTGGCGGAGTGCAAGGATTCTCGGTACGAGTATGGGGTTTTGGGCGATGAGCATGGCTCTCTGACATGGGAGGTTGGCACGCCGGATCTTTCGGTGGGAGATCGTGTGGAAATGGTCCCAAGCCATATTGATCCGACGGTGAATCTGCATGACTTCTATTATGCCCATCGCGGTGGCGTTGTTAAGGAGATTTGGCCGGTCGATTCCAGAGGGAAGGTTCAATAGTGCGCTTGCACATCCTTGGGCTTGACACTCCATATCACCATATCAAAGGAAGCTGAAGATTACCTGGGCCGCCAATTAGGAAATCCTACACATGAACAAGTCACAGACTGCCTCAGGCATGTCGATTCAAATGAAACTATTCTATATAAACATATCATCTAGACACGTGCCGGATTTCTTTTGTACTGGTACTGTTATGGCCGCAGACAATCCCTTCCTTCCTTTACCTCCTTATCATCCCATCTTGGTCATTTTTTCATCACTAAAGGGCCCTCTAATTGAATGACTTGTGTTTAATGATACGACTACGACTTAGGTGGTGAAATCGGACGGAAATGAATTGATTATGGCCCTATTTAGGAGGGTAAAGATTGAAAGCAAGGCAGCAAGGCAACCATATTCGTGAGTCAAGCAAAGGCCTTAGTGCTCTAATTGGAAATTATGTCTTATCCTGGCAAACATCTAATGAATGTGACAGATGTTCAGACAAATTCGATGTTTCTTGGTTCCATCGATTCAGTCTTCCAATATAGCAGTGCCTTGAGAAAGAGATTCCATAACAAGATTCTGTACATATCGACCAAGTTATCGCCCTACATGGCATAAGGACGCAGCAAGAAGCCTGTCGAGATGATCCCTGTCTTCTGTTGAAATGTTTTGAGAAAAAAAGTGCAGGGGCTGGGTACTCGAATCAACGGCGGTCATACATGGTGACAGCCCCCACTGCGGTGGATGGGCATTCCGTCCGGGATCCACTTCCTCAATGCCGCAGCCAAACAGACCCCCAAGATCGGCACTTTTAATAAATTAAGGGTCACCACTGCTTGCCGACAGCCCTTGGACGGATCATCGTTTGACAGAGCGACATTTTACTTTTGGGGGTTGAGTGGCCCGGACATATGGAATACCCTCACTGCCCTATCCATTGACTGCGAGTGACGGTGCGGTTCTATGGCTTCCCAGTGATACTAAGTAATAGGTGCGCGAGAACCTCATAGTTGTCACTGCAGGGTATGACTCTACCTAGATTCGAGAAGATTCTAGCCTAGGGCCGGGCTAGTGTACGCAATGTAGAGGAATATGGCGCAGATCACCGTTGCAGTCAGGGCATTCCAACGAAAGGCCTAGATCGGCCGTCCAACAGATGAGGGCCCTCATCACGGCCCTCGCAGAGACATTCAATTGGCCTGGTTCACAGTCTACCCCTCGATGCTGCAGGTTGTAGCTCTCATTGACCGGATACAATCCACTCTATCCACATACGGAGCAGTCACCACCACCCCGACGCTCGCTACCCACGGGCTACGACCCGTAAAGAGTAACTTCTTCTACAAGTGAGTTTGATCTAGTGTTGCTGTTGGCCAATGCGATCAATGCCAATGGGTGTCATATAATCCAGACATCCCGTCTTGTCAGTCCTCTCTTGAGGTTTTCACCCTTCACTCAGTCATTCCTTATCCCTTATTTCCAACTAATTGATTGTCACTCGTTTCAGACCCTAGTCACTCGTTTATATCCTAACCAGCAAGCAGATCTTGCGTCCACGCTCGTTTTCAACTATTACTAATATTTTTGTCCCCTCCCCCGCCATTGCGCGCCTTCTCGACCAGCGCCTGAATGGTGCTTTTGTCTACCCTTGAGATTCCACCTGCAGCTCCTGCTGCTTGTATGACAACATCGTCAAGGACCGAATCCCCACCAATAATATTACCAACCTTCGACCCCAAACCTGCCCCTCAAGTTCATTATGACTTAGAGGCCGGTCCTGAAGCTGACCTTTTGTCACCTGGCCGCCGTTTGTCTCCACGTCCAACTTTCCTCGACGGCTGCTTTAGTCCCAAAGATGGCCAATCCACCTTGAAGCGCCAGGGCTCTAGCGACGTTGTTCGCTATTTTGTAGGCTCTTTGTCTTCCTTTTTCTGGGTCAAATGGACGCAGGTCTAACTAGAGATTTCAGCATGGCCCCCGCGATTTGGATAAGCACACTAAATGGCCCGTTTTCCTGCGACTGCATGGTAGTGTGTTGCCAAAACTGATCATCCCGCTTTCGTTCATTGCCATCTGGTCGACAGTCGTTACGCTGGTTTGCAAATACGTCTACGATCGTGAGATTTCTCGTTTCTTGTACCGCAACATGGTGCTAACTGAGCTCAGTCGGGATTGATAACATCTTGCTTACCGTCACCGGTCTTGTCGTTGGACTATCTCTGTCATTCCAAAGTTCAACGGCTTACGAGAGGTATGACTCCTGTATTCCTCTCGAGAGGTAAGCAGCTAAGCTGAAATAGATGGGCCGACGGACGAAAATACTGGTCTCTTCTGCATCAAGCCTCGCGCAACCTCGCTCGTACTATCTGGATCTGCACTGCCGAGCGCGAAGGCGAAGAAGGGAAGGAAGATATTCTTGACAAACTGTATGTCTCTATCCATTCAACCGACACCTTTTACTTACTTCGACTATCTAGGTCTGCGATGAACCTGATCCTCGCATTCGCCGTCGCTCTCAAGCATAAACTTCGCTTCGAACCCGACATCGGCTACGACGATCTCGCAGGATTAGTAGGCCACCTCGACACCTTTGCCAAAGAAGCGCATGATCGTCAGCGTCTTGTGCCTCCCCAAAAGTCCTTTTGGAAATCAGCGGGCGAGTACCTGTCATTGTCAATCGCAGAGTCCGATCCCCGGAAACATGTCAAACGATCCAAGAAGCCCCTTGGTCATCTTCCGTTGGAGATTTTAAACCATCTGTCTGTGTATGTCAATCGGTGGATTGCGCGCGACGCGCTTAGTTTCAATGTATACCAGACGCAAGCGAGTATGTATAGCCCATCCATTTACAATGCCTACGCCCAATACTACCCATGGTCTAACACAAAACAGTCAACAGCCTCGCCAGTCTAAGCGAAGTCGTCACCGGTACCGAACGCGTCCTCGACACGCCCCTCCCAACAGCGTATACGATTTCCATCGCCCAAATCACCTGGATCTACGTCCTTGTTCTTCCTTTCCAGCTCTACGACTCCCTCTCATGGGTGACAATCCCCGGATCAATAGGTCTGTCCCTCCCTTCATTCCTCTTCACAAATATACAACCCCTAACCCCACCCTCCAGCGGCCGCATACATCATCCTCGGCCTCTCCGCCATTGGCCGCGAAATCGAGAACCCATTCGGCGACGACGTCAATGACCTCCCCCTGGACACGTACTGCCGTCGCATCGCCCAAGAACTCGACACCATCACCGCTATGCCCCCGCCCAGCGTCGACGACTTCGGTAGCCGCGACGAGAACCTCGTTTTCTTTCCCCATAGCACCGCTGGATATCCGGAGTGGAAAGAGCGCAGTTTTCATGATATAAGGTCGATGCTAAGGACGAGGGTCATGGCGAATGCACATTCTCCGTTGAATACGCCGAATTCGTCGACTATATTTGGGGATAGTAGGCAGTGTTTGAGTCCCGGGGTTTGAGGTTTTGGTTTCTTGAGGTGGATGGGCCTTGCCTGCTTGCATTGGCTTGTTGGTTTGGTTCGTAAGTTGTGTTTTGATTATTGCTTTTCCGTGTCCTTCTTTCTCTCTTCCTTGGCTTTTCTCCTTTCCTTTCATCTAGAGAAGGAATTGGGTTCATTGCTTCCCTCTGCTTTTTATTTTTGCTTGTTTGTCTGCTTGCTTAAGCAGGTCATCTCGTCACTCATTAATAACCCTTCTATTATTTCCTTTGTTTGCGATTGAGATTGAGATTGGATCATTGGTTGAAACCTCTAGTGTGTTTCGAGTGTTGCTGTTTGTACTGTACCTTCGAGTGATGGTTTATCTGCTATCTGTGTGATTTGGTTTCTCCTTGACTGTTAGATAGAACTTCTTTGGATATTATATAACTACTTGAGTGAGGATTCGACTTTGGGTATTAATCTCCTACTGCGTAAAGCCCAATTAGACTGTGCAATTGATTATCGTTCATAGAGATTGGGTGCTAAGTAAGAATCAGTTTTATATAATGCCAAAACGCATCTCAATATTCCAGATAAATCTCAGGTATTTTAGGACTCTTCGTTGATGTACATTGACCATTTATCACATCCCTCTTGTCTAAACACGAAACACGTAAAGAGCTCTAGGTATCTAAGACTGATTCTCCTCTTCCTTCAGCTCCTTCTGGACCTGGGCTTTGATGATCTCCCGCACGGCCTCCCACGAGTTCTCCACCTGCGTCACGCGAGACTCCTTCTGCAAGAGCGCCTTCAACTCATCCGGCAGCACCTGCGAATCAAAGTCAAAGCCAGCCTCATCCTTCAAGGCCGTGGCGACCGCGTCGGAGAACTTGGCCGGGTGGGCGGTAGAGAGCGAGATGTGATGTGTGGCGCCCGTGCGAGCAATCGATCGGTGGGCAGCCGTGATACCCACCGAGGTGTGCGGATCAAGCACGTACTTGGTCTCTTGGTAGCATGATTTGATGGTCGCCGAGGTCTCGTCGTTGCTGACACGATCACTCTCGAAGATCTGGCGACCGTTTGTCAACATGTCCTGGTGGATGGGGCCGAAGCCGCCGGAGGATTTCAACGACTGGTACCAGGACACGATGTCCTCGCTAGCTTGCTTCTTGCTGGCTCGGCTGTCTGCGCCGTTCGCCAAGGCGTGTTCTGTCGATGGTTAGGGGTGGTTAGATATTTGAGGATTGGGTTGCGTACCCTTTGACAGGAACCACAGTAGTCTCTCGAAGTTGCTGGACACCAGAATGTCCATGGCTGGGCTGAGAGTCTCCTTGCAGGCGTCGGGCTTGCCGGCCTCCTTCTCCTCAGCGGGGTGCTTCTCGTAACGACCGGTCGTCCAAAATCTGTGCAGAATATCGTTTCTTCGAGAAGGTTAGCCGCACTGTATTGGGCTAGTATTTGCATTGAAGTTGACTTACTCGTTCGTCGCGACTACAAACAGGCAAGACTCACATATTAGTCTCGGATAAAGTGACAGTTAAAAGGTAGAAGAGCAACTTACCAACCAGCTTATCCACGGGAAGACCCATCTTGTGGGCAAAGTAACCGGCGAGGATGTTTCCAAAGTTTCCGGTGGGAGTCACAAATCGGACCTTGTCGCCAACCTTGAACGAAGGCGACTTCTTCGCAAGCTGGAAATACGAGAAGTAGTAGAACACGATCTGGGCGAGAATTCTCGAGAAGTTGATGGAGTTGACAGCGCCCAATTTCAGGTGCTCGTTTGCGTCGGCATCGCCAAACAGCGCCTTGACAATGTCCTGTTAGGATTGTTAGATTCAAGATATATTCTTTTTGGATCGCCACCCGGAGCATACTTGGCAGTCGTCGAATGTCCCGGTAACGGCCAAGTTGTGGACATTCGCTTCCGTGCAAGTGGTCATCTGCACTTCTTGAATGGGACTGATACGGCCCTTGGGATGCAAGATAGTGACCGTTACATCCTTCTTGCCTCGGAGACCGTAGATCGCGGCGGAACCAGTCTAGTTGCCAGTTAATACCTTCGCTAGATCGCGCAAGGCCAGAGAAACTTACATCACCGCTCGTAGCACCAACAACAGTCAAATGGTGCTTGTCTACTCCCGTGTCAGTTCAATTCACACCAAACCCAGGGAAGCCATGGACATCTGGCTGATTGTCTTGCGCTGCCGCACCTTTTGTTTGTTTTCCCTGGTTCTTTCGCACGAGTAGATATTCAAAAAGGTTTCCCAAGAATTGCAAAGCGCCTGAAGCCGTCAGCTAAGTAGCCCCAAAAAGTATCCAACCCAAGTATAACCGTACAATCCTTGAAAGAGTAGCTGGGTCCGTGGAAGAGTTCGAGGAGGTAGAGGTTATCGTTCTGCAGGTGAACCAACGGGGTGATGTCTTCGGCACGGAACGTTGAATAACTCCGATCAATGATGCCTTTCAAGTCTTCAGTGGGAATTTCGGAGGGCGAGATGTAGAGACTGAAGATCTTCAGCGCGAGATCGGCGTAGCTGAGATCCTTCCAGCTTTGCTATAACTTGCTATTAGTCTTCACATCTCCGCGGAGAGACCTATCATGAAGGCCTTCAAGATCACGCCAATCTGCATACCCAATTATCTGCGCTCGGAACCTCATGCGGCAGGAAAAGTCCACCGTCCGCAGCCAGTCCCTTCAGGACCACAGTCTCGAAAGATAGCTTGTCGCAAGTTAGCACCTTATCGCCAATCGGTCGCATATAGAGTGAATCGCACGTCATAGTCACCGCCTCGGGTGGAGAGGTATTTCTGCGACTCAGTCGGAGCCCCGTTGGTCGTCATGATGTCCCAATGGCAGCGCTTGCTCTGTCGCTCGCTCGTCCGATAACACTAAGCACTGGAAGAAGTAATTCGACTTTCTGCCCCTCCCGACGTCGGCGAGATTTCGTCCCGCCATCGGCCTGGAAAATCTATCTCCCCGTCAATCACGGGTGACTCATAAGCCACGTGACTTTGCCACTACAGCAGGTATCGGGGACGGTCTTCTCTGTTCTTAACCATTTCCTATTCAATTGGACGGATTCTTGAGAAAAGGGCTTCCATACGTTCTTGACCGTCTAATATACAGTGTTGTGTCCTTGCATGTTGTCGCCACGTCGATGTAGTCTGGTTAGGTGTAGACTTCATCAGAGCCCACGAAAGCCCAAGCCCAACCCAACCCAGCCCACAAATGGGCTGGGCTTTGGGCCAGGTTTTAGGGCCCATAATGGGCTATGGGCTGAGCCCAGGGGCCCACGGCCATTAGATGGGGCCCAAATGGGCCCCCAAACTAGGCTAAACAGTGCAAACATGCTCCGATCTCATGACTGCATAATTTATGCATTTTTTAGCTGTAATATTGAGTATTTCTCTTACATTATTTCTCTTGAAAAGCAATCATTGACTCGTTGTAATGTCTACTTCGCCTGGTTATATCTTATATTCTTACTTGCTGAAGCGGTCAGCGTGCAGAGATTAGTTATTAAGATACTATTTAAAAAGCAGTAATTCAATATATTAATGATACTCAAACTCATCATCCTCCCTATTCTTCCTCTTTCTGAATCTTCCTGAAGCTCGTGTTTGTGTGATATTCTCTGGTAACTCAGGCTCTGTATGGCTCTGTATCACTGCTACTTCTTCATCTTCTTGCTCCTCAGTGTCACTAATCGGCCCTATCTCAACCTCCTCTAAATTCTCATCCTTCTCTTCCTTTGCTGCCTCGATCTCGTAGATAGAGAAGAATTCCTTGAGAAATTCTGCCTCTTGGTCTTCGAGATCAAATCTTGATGTACAAAGAAACATCATAATCTCCTCAATTGTCTCAGACTTCATCCGACCGCGGCGGTAATGACAGATATCTCGAGCAGTATTGAAAAGTCGTTCAACACCAGCACCTGTTGCTGGAATAGAGAGAATATCCCGTGCAAGGGCTGCAATAGCTGGAAATCGATATTCATTATCTCTCCAGAATTGAAGGGGCTCCATATCAATAGTGTCTTCAAGGATATTAGTATATGATTAAGAAAAATAACGTGTTTAACATACCACTATTAAGATATTGAGTCATTTCATCCCTCACTGGCTTTGGCTGTGGTTTGTGCTCATTCAACATCTTTTTAAGCCTTGAGCTTGGTCTGGCTGTGGTAAGGGGAGTAGCAGAGCCTTGAATAGTAGAGAGACGTTCTTGATAAGGAATCAGAGCTTCTTGGAAAGATATCCGGTAAAGTTCACGCCATTGTTTATCCCAGTCATCAGATAGGAAGAATTGGAACTTGTTATCAGGGGCAAGCATTGTGCTAATCGCATAGATATGTGGTTTAACTCTATCTGTCTGCGAGTAGTACTCATCAAGCTTTGATCGACCAGCTTCAAGAGAATCAAGCATCTGTTTTTTCCATGGAACACACTTCCGCCGGAGCTGCTTCATTAGTTTTTCAAGATGCTCAAAGAGCGCATTATAGATCTTGAAGACGAGGTGTATTGTAATCTCTCGAGTCTTTGATAGCTCAGTTGTATAGAGAAAGAACGGCTCAGTAATATAGAGAAGATAGTCGATTTGGCGCCACTCCTCATTATTTGGTACCATCTCTTCGCAATCATAGTCCGCACAAAATTGTGTAAAGATATCGCGGAGTCGTTTCGCGCGACGGAGCATGAGAAAGGTTGAATTCCATCGAGTTCTTACATCTTGGATTGGTGAAAGCTTGAGACCGTCTGTTTGGAGACTGTTGAATGCCTCCCGGCGTGAAGGGCTTCCGTGGATATAAATTGCCAGAGAGCGGACCTTGTTCAAGGTATAAGAGACCTCATGCTTCTGGTGCTGTGTATTTGCCTTGGTTGAAGATGACAGCCGATCAGTCCACTTTGTTTCTGTAGTATTGTTTTGTGGAACTGCTCTGAGACGGTCAAGAAGCTGGTTCAGGCTAAGTTGGATAACATGAGCAAGACAAGGAGTTCGGATAATATTAACATCATTAGATAAAGCCTGCTGGAGGGAATCAGCCAGTGTTTTGTTATTTGATGCATTATCACTGGTTAATCCAAAGACCTGATCTTGAATCTGATGACTATTCAGTGTTTCAAGAACAACACTGCTCATGTTTAAACCAGTATGTGCTCCATGAAGAGGTTTAAAGCCAAGAAGTACTTCCCGATATACCCAATCAGCATCAATAAAGTAGCCAGTTATAGCTAGAAATGCCTGGGAAAATGGAGATGTCCAACTGTCAAGCGCAATTGATATCTTTGAACCTGAAGGAAGCATCCTAAGGACCCTTTGTTGCCGGTCTTTGACTAGCACTTCTAGCCGACGACGGATCGTCATTGCAGATGGGATTTGTGGCATATTGGGTGCATTGTGGGCCATCTTAATCAAGCTTATAAATGTTGGATGCTCGATTAGATAAAAGGGAAGCCGATTAATTGTAAGAAATGATAAAATCTTTTCCTCCCAGGCTGGTTGTGAGAAAGGAACGTCAGTCGGAGCAGATTCCTAGTAGAATAATTAACTATTAGTTAAAGAAGTATAGTAATAGAATATTAGATATACCCTTTTTTGTAGGAATTTTATGATTTCATCCTTCTGTCTGTTCTCAAACCGTTGGCACGCAGCGGTCTTTAGGTGCCTTGTCATTGTTGATAAGCCATGACGCCCTTCCTTCCCTTTAATGTCCTTTTTCGTAGAGTAAGGATGTTCAAGGATTTGGCTGCAGCGTTTACACATGACCTTTGGGGCGCCGTCTATACTAGAAGCGACCTGATCATATTGCTTCCAAATATCTGAAAGATGGTTTGAGTCCCAATGTATCTTGCTTTTAGACCCATAATCAGTTTGTAACCACCAGTCTACCCATTCACTATGAGTCATTTCGTTGTAAAGCACATATGCCTTTCTTCGATCAGGCCCGACGCGTTCAAGAGAGGATGGAATTGTAAGAGGAATAGCTGGTCGAATAAATGAAGACGCCGAAGGATCAAGGGCATCAAATGGATGCTGGCTGCCAGATGGAGTAGCTGCGTAATTTGAAGAAGTCAGAAACGTTAGATTATCTATCTCTGCATCATAAAGAGATGATGCAAAGTCAGATTGCTGGCTTTGGGACATGATAAAGTAAGTATACAACACATAAATAAAGAAAAAAAGAAGGGTAAAGGAGATAGATACATGACTAGAAGAAGGATTTCTAATAATTTGATTTACTTAGCTGTTGATAGTAAGTCACACAAACAAGCCTACATATCACAAGTGAAGTGTATTTGGCCCAACGAGGCCCAACGAGGCCCAACAAAGCCCATCAGGGCCCATGAATAGCCCAGGAAACCCCACAAAGAGCCCACGAAAGCCCACGAAAGCCCACGAATAGCCCACGAAAGCCCACGAATAGCCCACGAAAGCCCACGAAAGCCCACGAACAGCCCACGAAAGCCCACGAACAGCCCACTGATAGCCCATTCCCAGCCCAACTTGGTTTTAGATACCCTCAAAATATTTTCATCCGGTCAGATATATAGATAGAATACTGATACAAAGAGCTAAATTCCTTCAAATTCACTTCTTTATACTGTCGTTTATGATTAGAATTCTAAAATAGAGAAAATGAGCTTTCATTTCGTGTAGAGAATAAACAAATCAGAATAAGCAGAAGTAACTTCTTTTTTACTTTTTCTCTTGTCAAGAAGATACACACACCCTTTTATATTTGAAATATATATCTAGACAAGTTTACATTAACTCCATCCACGAACCACCCGTACACCACCATAACAATCGGAATATAGGATTTTTATAAGTAAATAGCTTAAAATAAGCTTTACTTTCTTTAATTCGAAGAGGATTTCCTAGAATTTCCTACTGCTTTAGGCAAGGTTACAAAGAAGTTCAGTCGACAAACTGGAACAGATGTAAAAAACAGTATTTTATTTTGATTATTTAGCAGCTTTATGAACGCCAAGACCAAGATTTTATGCAAAATTGGGCTTTTGCGGGGGCCCATTGGGGGCCCATCGTGGGCCTGATGGTTGGGCTTGGGCCTGAAATCTGGGCCATCAGCCCACAGTGGGTTGGGCCATGGGCCCAAGAGTTAGGCCCATTTGTGGGCTCTGATGAAGTCTAGTTAGGTGTATCCTACGGGATTTAGCCCTAATTCCCGATGTCCGCCTTAGAATGCTAAATAGAAGAAACAGAAAGTGGATTGTGCATTGCCTATAAAGTTCAATTTTCCATACTTCAATGGATTGGTGCTCTACTGGGGCTGGTAGACTGAGTGGAAATTTTTGTCTTCTGAATTAGGAGCTTTGTATAAGGACCTTGGGCCTTTGGAGTGTTTGCGATAGGTGTGAAAGGTGACAATGGCTAAGACACGGTGTCGCGAAAAGTGAGAATTCAAGAATAAGATTAATATTGTAGATTAACGTTGAAAAAGCCAACATGATTTTTTTGCAAAAATAGATTTTATATATATGATAATTTAATTCGCAATTGAGTCATCTGTAAATGATTTTTTAATTAAATATATATTGTGAAAGTTTTACAATTATTTTTTTTTAAAAAATTTTGGTCTTTCAAGATCAATTCGCGAATTTTTAATTCACAATTGTAAATTTTGTAACTTTTTTTTTGCTAACAATTTTTAAAAATTTTTTCGCGAAAATCAAAAATCTAATGAAAAAAATGTATAATTTCGCAATAAAAAAAAGATATTGTTTATAATTTGATAATTATTTTTTGCAATTTTTTGTGCATCAATTGAATTTAATTTTTGTGAAAAAATAATCAACATTTTACAATATTTGTTGATCAT